TTTTGTAGTCTGTGCGTGAATAGTAGTTTGTGCAACAAAATTGGATATGATGGCCATATCGCACGTAGACGAAGTTTGAGAACGACGCCGTAGACGGAGTGGTTAATCGTCTGAGTGCGATACGGACAATCCACTCGAGTTATACAGTATATTTTTTCTACGACACACTAACGAAATTCTACAAATTTAAAAAAGTATGTTATTAAGACAAAATAAATAATTTTAAAATAATGTATGACTTTTACTAATTTATAAAATAAACCTACAAAAAGATTTAATTTAATTAGTCCCCAGCCCTGATTTAAACGCGGGCCTCTCGCTTGGAGACAAATTCCGTGCCCTCACGCCATCGCCACACTTGCCATTTTAGTTCTAATACTTGTAATTAAATTAGTTTCATATGGTTTGATTAAAATTTCAGATTTGTTTGTAAATTTGGACGAAATAAAAATAGAAATGCTATTACTTATCGATTATACATAAGAAATATTCATTTTTACGTATTGTAACGATAGTCTAATTTATTTTATAGTTTATTTATTTAAAACACACTATTTACAATTTATTTCAGACGTACTAATTAATTTATATAATACTTAGACACTGACTAACAATTCTAATTTATTTATTACAATTTAACTTTTCATTCCAATACTCTGTACTAAACTAAACTGCCCGACGATGAGTCGGGCTATTGTTTATATTATTTATTACACTAAAGGTTCCATTTTCTTTAAATGAAAATAATGCATATTGTATCACTGTAAAATGTTTATGTTTATATTACACATTCATGTTTTTGTTGTTGTAATTTTTGACTGTCTTTTCAAACCTATATAGCTTTTAAATTAGTTTAATCAATGAAATTTGGTTTATTTTTAAAGCTTTTTTTCTAAGTACCTGCCCACTTTTAACGGAAATGAAATGTATAGCGTATTTTAATTTGAAATGGAAAATCCTGTATATTTCATATACATATTCAGAAAGTCTTTTCTTTCCATTTATGAAATTATACCAAATGCAAGAACTTATAAAAAATTAAAAATGTAAAAAAACCTTACAAGTGTGTTACATAAATGATCAGCACAATCATTTAACTAATTAGTTTTGTAAAAAAAATCCAAATCCGGTACTGGACTTGTGTACGAAAAGTTAAATTAATGAATAGGTCTATATTTTTGGATTTTTTTTATATATGAATCACAATTCACACGTTCCAGTTTTTGTAATTCAATCGCCAAATTTCAGTAGGTCAGTAGTGTGTTTATCTGTTCAGTATGGTAAATTGAAAATAAAGTGTGTTTATATTTAAAAGAACAAATTTAAAATAATGTTATCGAGGTAGATTCAACAAGTGCGCAGATGATTACAGATCAGGTGGGATAAGCTAAAGTATCCCTTTCACGTTCAATTTGAACATTTCCCCCGCAGAGTTATTTTGTGAATGGCTTACAATGGCATGAATGTAATTAACATTTTTCGATGAAAGTTATACGGGACCGTATGGAAAACATTTTGGAATAAATTAATGTAAGTTTCTTATTTTTAAGTTTTAAATGTTTTTTTTTTTCAAAAAGTTGTTTATTTTAACGACTTCTATGTACCCAGTTAAAAAAAATATCAACTTAGGATTCAGCCTGTATATACTTGTTCGTTTTCCAAGTTCAATTATTATTTCAAACAAATAGTTACTCTGAAGAAATAATGCAATTATTTTAAAACGCTCTAATTTGTAAATAAAAAAACAAACTACTGTTATATTAATAAATGTATGAATCAATTCGAACTTGAGATTAATCATATTGGAAAATTATTCTTATCTAACGAGAATTAGTTAGATACCGGAAATAGGTAAGTTAGATATGAGATTAAAAATATCAGTCAATAAATTTTGCAATAATTGAATAATTAAATGTATGTATTCTTATTTTTGCTAAAAGAACTAGAAAACTGAAAACCATTTTGGTTGTTTAACAAAGATTTAAATTTTTTAAATAATGTTAGAAGTTTTATTGTAAAATAAAAAAAATTTATCTCAAAAAAATTAATAGATTACTAACTAATAGACCGTCAGATAGTGACAGATTTAACATACAAGACTCGAAGAGGGTTGAAAAGTACATCGATGTTGAGTAGAATGAAAGAAAATTTACGAGTTGCTCTTGGGGGTAACACATGGAAAATTAGATTTTTCTAAACAGAAATATTTTCCGACCCCAAAATGCACTTATCCACTCGGGTCATTCAAGCCAATATGTTTTTCGGACTAGTGACAGTGTACGTTTTCATACATTCGATGGACTTGTGTGAAAAAATCGGTTAAAATATCTATTTTTCCTTACAAGATTATACCCTTATTTTAACCCTTTACACACTCGCAATCTTAAAGCCTTTTGTTTTCCGACGCTTAGTTCTATTAGTTAATCATTTAGTGAATACGGCTTGCGTGAAAATATCAGCAACAAATACCTAAGAGCCATTCGTAAATTTCCTTTCATTCTACTCAAAATCTATGTACTTTTCAACACTCTTGTATGCTTGTATGCAAAAATGGAGCACCTAAACTTGTTAATATCTGACGGTCTATAAGTGATATAAAGAAGTTTACAATTTTAGTTTCTTGTGGTCTTTTGATATTTGCGTTTCGGACGGCTTTATTTTTCAGACGAGAATATCTAGATACCAAATAATTACAATAAAAGAAGATAAAAAAAGCAAATTCTGCATAGAAGATACTATGACGAGTCTAATACAGCAAGCAAAATTATTCTAATTTTCTATATGTTGCATCTTCTATTATCCTGATTTTAGGTTCATTATAACAATAACTTTTATTTGAATTATTATTATTCTTATTATTTTTGAAACAAGCAAAACTTTTTATTAATAACATTTACTCTAAAAAACCCCGAGGTATACAGTGCGTCTCCATAAAGTAACGCATACATTCATTATTAGCTAAATAAACAATAATATTCCCGAAACAGGTCGATTTTTGACTTTAATTTACTATTTTTTCAAATTTTAATCTAATATACAGGGTTAACCACCTTCGTGTGATAACATCATCGCCATTTGTTTAAAATGTAACCCTTTTTTCAATTTCCGGATTGCCCTTGCTGAGCTGATTCCAAAAATGTATAATACGTTGCTTCAAATTGGTACAGGGTGTGCAAAAATGCTAAAACTTCAAGTTACTTACAAAATAATAAATAAAGAATAAACGTAATAAACACATTAAATGAAATTACGTATTGTTACACAACTACTTTAATAAACTATTATTAAAAACATCCTGAATTATTTTTAACATTGTATCTAACAGTTTTTATTAGTGATCCAAGTCACTGAACCATAAAAATATTTTTATTATTTGACAGTATTTTTTACCATTTTTTTCATTTGACGTGAAAAATTGTCAGAAACATTAAAGTATAATTCTGTATTGTTGGAGAACAATTTGAACATTTATTGTAAATTTTCGTTTGCTTGTTTTTGGTAGTGTATCACAGTAATTGCATAACTACGTAATTCCATTTAATTTGTTTATTACATTCAGTAACGTATAACTTTCCATAAAAAAATTTCATTTTTTTTTATTTTTGCCCACCCTGCACCAATTTGAAGCCACGTGTTATACATTTTTGGAATCAACTCAACAAGGGAAATCCGGAAATTGAAAAAAAGAGGGTTACATTTAAAAAAATGGTGATGACGTCATCACACGAAGGTGGTTCACCCTGTGTATTAGATTATAATTTGAAAAAATAGTAAATTAAAATCAAAAATCGATCTGTTTCGGAAATTTCTAATATTATTGTTTATTTAGCTAACAATGAATTTATGCGTTACTTTATGGATATGATTTTAATATACATTTTTTCCCACTTTTAAACTCTTAACTAGAAATTTGCAATAACAGAATAACTATAAACAGGGTGTTGTTCTAAGATAATACAATTCTGTTAATTTCGTATTAATCGGAACCTGAACTACAAAATTTTATTAAAACAGTAGTTATCACAGAAGTGGTAATATGGTAAAAATACACTGTTTTGTAAGTTATGACACTTATGACCAACGAAACAATAAGCAAAGTAGATAAATCACCCAGTACCTTATAAAGAATCGTGTAGAAATGTTTGATATCATCTTTCTTATGAGATATTAAAAAAATGTATTAAAAAAAATTATAGGATGGCTTAGATGTATACAGGGTGTTGCATAACTCAGGTACGAACCAAACATATGTTTTGTTTTTAACAGAACACAGGTTTATTATTTTAGATTTAAATTACTCTCATTTCTTCCATTCTTCTAATAAATGGTTTGTGTAGGTTATATAGGGTACTCTAAAAGAAATTGGCATTTTTGTATGAAAATCGAAAGTAAATCAACGTCATGTAGCAAATAATAAAGAGTGGAAAAAATGTTTTTTTTTACCTACACGAGTTTTTTAATATCATGAATTAGAATTATACTTTTCTTTAGTAACGTTTGTATTGTATGCTTATTAGAATACAAGGTGACTCAATAGTCGGACCATTGATTTTCATGTTTTATTTAAATGGGGAACCCTATATTTTGTATCACCCTCTGTAATAAGCCTTCCATTTGCGGTATATTTATAAACATATTTTATTTAATAAAAAGAAACTTTCATCCATTAAACAGACGGATGAAGGTCGACCTTACTTCGGATCTTAGACCATAATACATGATATTAAAAAACTCGTATAGGTAAAAAAAAATATTTTTTCCACAGTATGTAATTGGCTACAAGGCGTTGATTTACTTAAAATTTTCAAAAGTGCCAGTTACTTTTAGAGAACCCTATATAACCTAGACAAACCATATACTAGAAGAATGGAAAAAATGAAAGTAATGTAAATTTAAATTAATAAACTGGTGGTCTAGTTTAAAAAAACATGTTTGGTCATGAACACCCTGATTACCTCTATTTAATTATAAAATGTGGCCCTAAAACCATCCTACAAATTTTGTTAATACATTTTTTAATATCTCTTACAAGGATAATATCGAACTTTTCCGCAAGATTGGTACACCCTGTAGATTATTTAGAACCACCTCTATTTCTCCTAAACGTATGTGTATTACCAATTATTGAATAAAAACGATGTTTCTTAAATTGGTCATGGCACACGATATCCTGTATCAGTATGGACGAATATGTTTTGATTTACAAAAAACCTCGATAGTGCGTAAAATTGCTAAAAATTGGCATAACAATACCAAACTATTCATTGCACAAAAAATTTGTTCACTGACTAGCTTTTATCTGAGATGTCGATGTTATTATCAAACATCGATCGCTCCAAATTTAGCCAAATTTCGACATTTTAGAAATTTGGCTGGCGCAGTTTACAGGGGGAAAACTGGACAGAGTATCCTAAACAAAAGGAGCCAACGCGAATGTTTCAGAATGTTTCAATAACAAAACGATTTAATTAATAAAAAATTACAACAAACTAAATTAGTCTACAGTACCTCCACCTCTGCTTTGATTGATTGCCACATATTTAAAATCACATTTTTACGAGCCTACCACACTTTTCGTCTGTGAAAATTAACTAAAAGGAAGCGTTTTGTATTGTGCAACGCCTGAACATATCGTATTATGATGTTATGTAATACTATGATCACACACTGCTTTTGCAACACACTTAAAAGATAATTTAATGATAAACCCAAAACAAGGATTGACCGACAGAATAAAACCGGCTGCAACATGTCAAAATAACGAGGTTATGTTTTATAATTACTACATATTTTTTTCGCAAGATTTTTAGTAATTACACACTAACGCAGCCGGTCAAAGTGACCGCCAAATTTAAAGCACCGACATTTTTAAAATGGGTAGTACTAGTAAATATGTAGTAATCAAGCAAAGCAGTGGTGATAGACTAAATATTTTGTCTTAATATTTTCCTATTGACCTTGTTTGATATGTTTACCTCTAACATTTATTCCATAAATAATAAATTTACTACATGCAGAAAATTAGCACATTCTGAAACATTCGGTTTCCATTCATCTAGGGATTTAAACAGTTCTTTCCTAAACTATTTCCTAATAACTAGAAAACTAAAGAGAGATTCATATCCAAACAAATTAATTAGAAATCTAAAAATATCACAATAACAATATTTTTAACTAATTTGATTGTTCATCGAGCACTGAACAATTTTTGTTAAAAACACAAAAATCTCCATCAGAATTGAGCTAAATGACATTTTGTTTTAATGTATTAAAGCCGCTTTTCATGGGCCAAACCTGTTGCAAGTTTGATGTTATCTTGCAAGAGGACAATTTTATTGCCCAACCTAATCTAAAATTTTTGAAGCCTCAAATAAAACTACAATTGCAACTCAGATTAATGTATACTGTATGCACAATTCCCAATAACCGCTAGTAATTTTTCCCGGGTTGGTATCAAAAAAATGTTATCAAAGTGCACGGAAACTACATGGCATGAAACTTTCCACAAACATGCCTATGGCATGCGCAGTAAATAAAAATGTCTTGCAACAAACTTGTACCTTGAAAATAGGCTTTAAAATAGCAAAATTTTGATAAACTAAATGTCTATAAATGCAATAATGGTGACCTTTATTTTAAAAATAAAGTGTGATGATGTAGATTCAAAATCAGTCTGTAGAATTTTTCTTTTTTTTTTACTTACTAACTAAGAGAGCGATGTTGAAGTCTTATTGCTCGCTGAAACATAAAAAAAAAATGTTATAGGGTAGATATTATTTAGAATTCAATGTCTAAGTTATGTCTCAAAAGTTTTCGGAAAAAATCTAATAAAATTAATTTTTAGTAAACATGGCCCAATCTAGTTGTTGAAAACAAAATTTTGTTTATTGTTTGAAGTTTAACTGTGATATGTCATAACTACAGCGATGCCCTATACACACCTCGTTTAGATAGTGATATTATAGATAGCAACCAAAAAACAATGGAACACTTCAGATGAAGCCCTATAGAGATTTCGTTTTCTTGAATATAACTATTTGAAAGGTGGACCTTCCCGATAGAATTAAATTTAAAATTCGTGATACCATTTACGACATAAGAACATCCAAAAAGTATATAACTTTAGGTACAATTCATGAAGAGATTAAAAATAAAGGAATTTTAAATTAAGGAAAAACCAGAGTCTATGGAAAAGTTCAAAGCATATTGGATTTAAATTTAAGAAGATAATCGTAAGGCTTTATTTCCATAAGTTTAAAAGAAGTGGTGTTTCGTTTGTATATTTAAACGAGACCTGGATTTTTTCAAAGGGATCTACAAAAAAGAATCTAGCAGGATACAAATAAAAAATCAATAGAATATTACTGTGCAAGTGAGGAAAAAAGACACAAATAAGTAACGAGGATGGCTATATTTTTGTTGGAAAATTATTTTTTTCTATATAATCCAAAAAAATGTGAATATCATGACAACATACTGACACTGGTTAAAAAATAATTATGTGAATTTAACCCCATTGAGGATAAATGGGGTATTTTTTAAAAAATTCTACCATAATCACATAGGTAAATATGGCCACAGTAATGAAGCTTTAAGAAGCATGTAGACTGAAGCTTTAAATGTTGCTTTACCAAAAATTTGGAAAAAAATATGTCCAAAAAAACAGAAAAATAATTTCCAAATGGTGGAAAACAGAACAGATTACAAATGAAATAACCCAAATATAATTAATTTTGATGACAACAGTGACTTACCAGATTCAAAAAAATAAAATACATCAAAAACATTTTTAACATTTTAAGTTATTTGTTTAAATAATTGTTTTTTTATATAAATAATATAAATTTAATAATAACTTTTCAGTTTTGCAGGGAAACAAGCTAATTTATCTACAATAGCTATGCTAAATCTATAGTTTAACACCGGATTTGAACGGTGCCCCTGGAGGGGCTAGATAGATAAAGATAGGATGTCGCGCACAGTGGGCGGTCCTTAAGCAACGTAACTCATGGCGACTTTGCTTACGTTGTGCTTTTAATCAATTGTAGAGTTGGGTATATCGTGCATATTTGGTTATAGAAGTTAAATATTAAAATGTGGTGTGTTATTGTGGGATGTGATTCCAACAACGAATCTAAACGGAATGCGTGAAAGACGTTAGGTTTTTTTAGTTTTCCTAAAGACCCTAACCTTAGGAAAAAGTGGTTGCATCTTAGCAAGATGAAAGATAAACCTAATATAGAAAACCTTTCCCGCAAGATTCGTGCCAAAAATCCCAGAGACCAATTTTACAGCAAAAGTAACGCGTAAAGTAAAGATACATGAAATTAGTCATTTTATATTTTTTTATATTTTTCTGATCCAAATCTTAATAAACATCTTTTGTATTAAACATTTCGTTGTAGCTGCATCTCCCTAATGAGAGTCAGGCTATGAGTGACTTCATGCGCGTGGCAGACGAAAACACGGGAGCATCCGGCCATGGATAGTATTGACGTGGAATATGCTAGTTCAGTGATGATGAAATTATGGTTCCACTGACAATTAAAGTGACAGTAGATTTTTTGAGTGCGTTTTGTTTACCTACATTATATCGTTTTTTTTTTTACTTTTATAAATATATTCCTAAAGTAAGTAGATAGCATGCATCAAATATAAAATCGTTTAGTTACCAATTATATACTTTATATACAGTCCACATTTATTGATCCAAAACAGGACGAGCCTAATATAATAAAGTGAAAGCATTCAGAGATATTTCTTGTTAAAAATACAGTGATAAATATAAAAGTTAAACATACTTACGCAGATCCTGGGTAATAATATGGCGGTGGTCTTTCATACTCTGTCGGAGCTCTTTGGTATTGTGGCGGACCTCCATTGGGGAATTCTTCCCAGTGCCTAAGCAATAGGAAAAAATATAATTCGAGTAATAACAAGTAAAATTCATATAAACGATATTATTAATGATATAAGGCGCTAAGATATTAAAAATCTTTTTAAAAAATATATTGATTTACTAAAATATTACTAAGATTAACATATAAATAAAATAGAAGCGTTACACATGGACAATTACGAGAATTTTATTAAAAATATTAGAGTGAATAGCATTAAAGTTGGATATACAGTACGTTAACCAACTCATTCAGCAAAATAAAGGTGAGACGCTTAATTATATTTGGATGTGAGAGGTATAACGATAGTAATTGGTTTGACCACGCCCTTTCGATGACAAGGATAAGATATTACAGTCCGTAGTCGGCGACGTATTATTTAATATATTTCTGTCTATTCAATGGCATTGTTTCTATACCGTTCTCCTAGATCCAGGATTGTAAAGTTAACGTACTGTATACGATAAAGCAGTGTTATTTGAAATATTATGAATTCAAGAACTTATAAAGTAAAGCTTAATATAGTACAAGAGGTGTAATCTTAATGAGTGCAAATTTTTTGACAGGACAAGATAAAACAACAAACAATATTAATAGATTTTTCCTAAACTAAATAATTATTACGTAAAAAAATCTCAAAGATAAAATTATTAACAACTAGGAAACGTTACTTTCTGCCTCCAACTTTCGTATTTTACATTTTCGGTAATAATAAATGGCCTATTTAATATACAAATTATTCTCTATTAAACACGTAAATTTGGAAAATGTAATACTCGTAGGAAATGAGTATCGGTTCTTGCTAGTTAAACAATATACTATTATGCAGAGTTGGTAAGTTAACAATTTAGTGTTATGGATTTTTAATATTAATTTATGAGAATTATTAATAACTGCACGTGTCTCTTTGTATACCTGTAAACCACTTACAGTTCTGTACTTTAAATATAAAGGGTAGAAAAACTAAAATATTTCAAGTTTAGGGTTCTTAATGCCATTAAAAAATTATCTTTTCAATGGTGCCTCATTTGTGAAATGATATGTCATTTTTACACTTTAAATTTATTCGTTTCATTTACAAAAACACATGAAATTAAAATTAGTTTAATAAATGTTCAAAGTGCTGGCCATTAACTTCCATGCAGTGATACAAGTTCTCCTGAAATCGATTTCTGACATTAAGGAGCATTTCTGGTGTTCTTACACTCGTTAATAATCCGATGCAGTAAATATTATAGGAAAGTTGGTTGAGTAGGATAGATCTTAGATGTCCCCACAAAAATAAATCTAACGGAGAGAATCTGGAGATCTTGGTGGCCATTCAATAGCACCCTTTCTACCAATCCACCTTCCTAGAAATGTTTAGTCTAAGTACACTCGCACCTACTGTGCATAATATGGAGCACCGTCCTGTTGGAACATTGTTCGATTTGGTAAATAGCACTTATCGTTTTCTACTATTTGAGTTACGGTAGATTCGATGGAATTTTCCAACAAATTCAATTTCTCCATTCAAAAAAGGTACAAAAAAGGTCCAATTATATGGTCTTCGATAATACCGTGAAAAATTCTTGGATTTACATCACTCCAGTAACGACAGTTGTGCCGGTTTACAGTGCCAATGACAAAACAAGAGCACTTGCCGGAAAAATAAATGTTAAATATATATGGGTTTTGATTTGCTGGGCCGCTAATAACTTCACTGAATTGCAGTGGCCAGTCGAAGTTTACTAGTTCGGCACTTGCACTAATTGAATTTTATAAGGATGCAATTTGTTTTTTTAATATTCTTCATATGACACCTGATACATCACTGCCTCGTACTTTTGAGTTGTGACCTATAACAGCTACTATCACTGCTTTATTGACTACTGGATTTACAATATCACGCTTTTTTGTTAAATGCCGAACCAGTTTGGGTAAATTTTGCACTAGTTCGAGGACATACTTTCGATTGACATATTTCATCTTTATAGTGTGGTAGTACTGGCTAAATTTTATTGTTTATCTATTTTTAAATTAAGATAAGATGGACATTCTACTTTTAATAAAAGTTTATCGATTCGCAAACATTCCGCCAATTCAGCTTAGGTATTGCCTTAAGGTTACAATAATTTTCAATTTGATTCAATATAATTTTAAGTGTTTTAGTTTCGAGCAAGCATGATGTTATGTTATGTTGATAATGGGGTGTTAATACACTGCGACCTAAAAGATCTATTCTGCCCCCTTCTGTCGCCACTGCACTAAGGAAATGTCTCAATGCCTATAGCGACCCTTCCAATCCTATTTTCTCAAGGAAGTGTAGGATTTGAAGTGGCTTCAAGTTAGGTAAGTCTCCCTCTTCTATTTGATATTCTCCTAGATATAGTGCCCTTGGATTCTGGAGTGCTACACATTCAGTTAGAGCAAGCATGATAAAATCCATGGTTATTAATTGGCAAGTTTAAATTATCTTTATGATTTTGTAAGCGTCTTTGTAAATAAAACGAATACATTTGAAATTTAAAATGTCAAAATAACATCTCATTTCACAAGTGAGGCATCATTGAAAAGATAATTGAAATACCTTTCAAACAGGGTGCCACTCAACCCCACTTTTCATTTAAGATTTTAGGGGTAGAAAAGCACCCTGTTCAAGGGATTAAAGATAGGGGTTTGGAAATAAGTCTAAAGGGTTTCTCTCTCGACAAATAAATTGACGTGTGCAAACGATTTTTTGTTAATGACTTTAAGAACCCTAAACTTGAACCGTTACCTTTTCGTATAAAATATTAACTTAATACTTTGAACAGGTCTTTTTGTTAACAAAGAGATTTTCTTTTACATAAACGTGAGGGAAACTAAATTTTAATTATTGCATTAACTAAAAAGAATTGAGAAAGAATCAACAGCCGGCAGAAGGTGGACCAGTCGAAAATCGCGAAGATTCATTCAATTTTAGCTGTTGGCCGCGAATAGTTGGTTTTAGAGGTGATATAGTCTGAGCTCCGAACACGTTTTAATTCCAATTAATTTCAAAATCACTTGCTTTCCGTTGTATGCTTTTCCGATAGGTAATTAGATTATTCCTGTAATTTTCATTCAATCGTGTGTTCCGAAAACAGTGTGAAACCAGCAAGAATTTGTTAAATTCCCTAGTTGTTTATATTCTTTTTATTCAATTTTTTTATTTGCAACCTTATCAGTACTTTGGAAGCAAATCCGGATTTTCTATTAAATACTAGCTCGGTTTATTTTTATTTAACAAATATAATTTGATGTGTTCTAATAGTAATACTAAGTAAACCGTTAGATTAAAATTTGTAAATATGCGCTAGTTCAGTGATGATGTAATTATGGTTCCACTGACAATTAAAGTGACAGTAGATTTTTTGAGTGCGTTTTGTTCGTTTTGTTTAACTAAATTATATCGTTTTTTTCACTTTTATAAATATATTCCTAAAGTAAGTAGATAGCATATATCAAATATACAATCATTTAGTTACCAATTACATACCTTTAAACTTTTTATGACCTGTAAACAATATTTTGAAATAAAATAAAAACAGTAAAAACGTATATGTCAAATTTATTGATGTTTCTGTTAAAAGTTTGGTTAGAATTAAATGTCAGTGGAACCAAAATGACATCCCACTGAACTAGCGCATTGGTTTCGAAAATAGTTATACCGGGGTTGTACAAAAATTTAGTTTCCGAAAATTTTGTAAATATTAGTTTGTTAAAATATTTATACCGGGTGGGTGATTAACTTAGAAGTGGTTTGAACTTCTCCGAATATTTTATTTAAAATGAATTAGACCGGGTTGCCAAGAAATTAATCAATCGTAACTTCAAAGATAATTTTTGAATTCTTTCGAATGGAGTAACATGAATTTCTAACACATTAATTAACTAATTGAGTTGATTCCCGTCCCTTCCCTTTCCTGTTAGGCCGTGTTAGGGTTCCTAAGTATTTCTTTTGTACATTTCGTTATAAAATTCCGTAAACTAGAGTATCGTCTGAGTTGCTATTGAAGACAGTGACTACTCCCGCAGTAGAATGGGCCAATTTGGTAGTCAACTCAGATGATATGTTCCGGATTTGCTATTGAACAGAAGTGAAGCTTAGCTACCTTCGCTACAAATCTGTATTTCTCTCGTAAATTTCTTTAGCTCCGCGATTAACGTTCTTTTGTTTATTGATTCTGATTCCTGTCCTCACCGTTAGTTAAGACTCTTAGAGCCCGTTTTTCAATCACAGTTTAAACTTTCGTTCACCTGAACTTGGATCAAATATAGAACCCAAATTAGAATCAATAGCGTTTTTCAATCATGTCAGTATCACAGTTCAGGTGATCTAAAGGTCAATTTATAAACTCGCAGTTCCGTCGCCGTTACCGTTTGACATTGCAATCGCCGTTGAACTTTAAACTTTGTTATGTTTGAATGTGCAACAGAGAACGGTGACAGCAACAAAGAATATAAGTGCTCAAAAGAAAAAGAAACTTTTTAACTTCCAATGGGAACTGCAACTTCGAATGGTAACTGCAACTCCAAGTTTATAAATCGACCTTAAGTTTAATTTGTATTGGTAGTTCTGAATCGAAGGACTTCCGACAAAACTGAATGCTCTATGTCAGTTTGACTCAGTTCATTTGTTGAACTTAGTTTAAACTTTCATTGAAAAACTGGCCCTTAGTGAATTCCCGACCAGTTGACTGGATTCTGAATGTATAGTGGCTATCCCGCGTGGTAGAATGGGCTGATTCGGCTTCGCTCCCAGAGTCTGGTTTATACAAGGTTATATAGCCTGGAGCATCATCCTCAGGGGTTGCGTCGCCAGGACATTAATCTTGTGGTCCGTTAGGGTGTAGCTAGATTTGCAATTTCTTTATTGCACATTACTTCTGCTCCTGTCCACTTCCCACCGTGTCTCTATATTTCCCGCTTTAAGGATAACCGAATAGTCAAAAGCTCTCAGACGCTTAGAGGAGAAATTCATGAGATTCCGAAAGTTCGCCCTGACGAAGACCGTAGACTTGCTACAACGCCGCGTAGTACTGCTTATTTGATCGCCGTTTTCCCGACACCGTTTTATTCATAAACCCCTCATTTGTCCGATTGCGTTTTTATTTTATTTTGCCCATTAACTTCCGTTACGTTTTTCTTATTTTTGTTCAGGGTTAGATCCAATAACTTGGGGAGACTTGTAAATACAATTATTTAGCTTCAATGTATATTAACCGAAACGATTGTAAATTCCGAACAATATATGTGTCAAATTGAAACCTGGTATTTCATTCCCTTGTAAATATATCTTTTCAGGTATTATATAACTACTGAAATATCGTTGACCCTGTGGAATTTTCTTTCTTCACTGCAGCTACCTGCAGCCCTTCTTGTAACTAGTTCCAATAGGTAAAGTGAAGCAAACCACTCTAAAACAAACTGGCGCACGAGCATACCCAGTTCGAACGTCACAAGTGAGAGTATTTCTAATCAGTTGAGAAAACCTCTCACACATCATACCAATTTTAAAACATGTGCATGTGTATACTGCGCGTTTAAAAAAATATTTTTAAAAATTGTAAGGATGAGAGTGGTTTGCAAGTCTTAAAATAGAAAAATATGCAGTAAATAATTATTTAATAAGTTTAGAATAAGTTTAAATTAAATAATGTCCATAGTTTAATAATAAAAATCCATAATATTCCATTTTTAACTTAATAAATGCACAGTAATAAAAAAGTACACTTTTTAATTCGCTTTGTGTTCTTTTCAAATATTTAAGCAGATTTTGAAATATACAGGGTGTTATTTCGAGTACTTATTGATTCTTTCGTTAATTTTTTATGGCTAGTACATTATTTGTTTTGATATTGGCAATATCAAAAAATATCCTGAAAGGTTTGTTAGTTATAGCACTAGAAATAAATTATCCAAATCGGCCCATTAAATACAGTATATTTGAAACCACCGTTTCCCAATGAAACACCCTATATAAAACTGTTTTGCTCCATTTCTTCCCTTTAATCACCTGATAAAGTCTGCCTATATTACCTTTAATACCCTGTAGGCACCTACTAATATACAAAACTATAGATAATAGGTACATTTAAAAATACAAAGTGTAGTTTGTTTAGTTTAGGTATTCTATAGCAATGTGTCTGAAAAACCAAAATTAATACCTAAATTACTAGATCATAAACAAAATCAAGAAGATTCACGATTTTTGATTTTTAGACAACTCAACTTTTTAATTACTCAAAACCTAAAATTAAAAACACAAATAAAACAAACACAATAAGCAAAAAAGAGATCATTTTCTAAACAAAAAAAGCAACAATAAAATATAAATTACATATCAAAATAAAAAATAATAATTTTCGAAAATACAGAAAATAACTTTACGAATGAAAGATGCTTAAAATACCAACGACAAAATGTCCTATCATAAAATATTTACAAAAGACTCAAACAAATCACTATATCCGTCGGTATCCTACAGTTGACACAGTGGAATCGGCTTCAGTCCTATGAAAAAAGAAAAATAAAACTACAGTTACCAGGAGAAAATTAAATATTTCGCAAGAAAGCAACCAAAATGAAGAATGTCTGGAAGATGCAGTTTACATGAATTTGATTCGGAAAGTTAATTACAAATAAACTGCCACATTTAAGAACACAGAATTATGACAAAAGTTATTAATTAAACAAAACAGCAGAGTGCACAAATTAAAAATATTTGGCAGATAATTTAGTAAAGTGCATATCAAAATATTTAAAGCTTGCAAGAAAGAAGCAAATGGTTATAACAAAAAAAAGTAAAGGATCGAAACTACTCACAAATGTTCTTTATAATTTCCTAAGGATGTTTGAATGAACTGAAAAAATTCCTATTACCAATTATTAGTTTATATTTGTAATATTTTTATAATGTATTCATTTCTAAATCATCAAGCTAAAAATAAAATTTAAAATTGAAAATAGCTTCTTAAAAAATTTAATTATTTTTTCTGTTAAAATTCTACAACTACGATCTGTACTACAAGAATAATGAATGTATATTGATGTTAAAAATGAAAAAACTAGATAAAACGCATAAAGTCCTAATCAGCGGTTTCCTAGAAACTGGTAACTCTGATAACGCCGACATCTGCAGGATCTGTTACTAGGGCTGATAATTAGCTTATACCTTACAATTATTTTATTAAAATATTTCTGTTCAAAGTAATGTTTAACTTATTTTGACTTACATTCATTCTATTACGTTTTATAATGTATCTGATAATTTGATATTTTACCTGCATTAATACGAGTACTATATTATTTATCATATGGCTTTTTTATAGCAAATTCCTAGTTAAATATAATTGATGATTTGAATTAAGCTAATTTTACACAGTAATTATTTTTTTGTTTGTCCCTTAAATTTACAATTGTATTGATTTTACCGGTTTAGTTTATAATTGCGGTTATTTAACTGTGTATCGACCCGAAATTCGACCGAAATTTCTCTAGCATAACAATAATAATTAGAGATCATTAGATATCAACTGTCTCCTGGAATTTCCGTACCTCTCTCTCAGGCTACCCGAGCCCTTTTTGATGCCGTATCAAGGGGTTGCGGAGTAAACTACATTAATAAATTTGCCAGATTCATTTAAAAATCGAAGGCGTCAAAGGTAAGGATTATTTTAGGCAAGAAAACACTATTGCATTAAAAGTGATATACAGAGTGGAATTTAATACATTTACGCAGCCGTCTGGAGTGTCAAATAGAGGTGAATTAAGTGTATTGTAAAATACTCTGTGTTATTATCATTTTTGCCTTTTCTTTTTATCTGATTATTTAAAACTTAGCTTTTAACTTATTAAAATTTCTAAATATTAAAATATATGGATGTACTGTTTTGTGTCTTGAGTCTTAAAAAATATTTGATGGAAATAGGATTTTTGTCGAAGATTTTATATATGATGATTAGTTAGTCTTTAGTATGCATAAAGCGGTTAAAGCTACTTTAATCACTTGATGCATCCAATTTTTAAATGACAAGTAACGCACTTTTTTATGTTAGAATAAATAATGGTGACACCCTGCACCAAGAGAAGCGAATAAAATATTATATTGTTTGTAAAATTACTTACTTGGGTGCCATATCTGCATATCTAGAATCTGGAGGTTGATTTGCTGCAGTTACTATTTCTCCCATTTGATGCCTGTCCTCGGGCTTCTTTCCTTTTCTCTTCTTTTTACCTCCTCTAGATTTGCTACCTCCGCGACTGCAAAGAAACAATTTAAAAACAATGTGCACAAGAGGTATTTTCATTATTGTTGCTGAGGAAGCAAAAGAGCTATTATGATTATTTTGTTCCTAATTATAACCAAAATATAATGAATATAGCCAAACTATAGCACGGATATGAATATTGAGTATTCAAGTTAATTCTAGATAAAAGCAAACTAGAGGTATTAAAAAAAAAAACATAAAAATTAAATATGTAATAGAGTTGGTTTAAAATACCTATTTAGTTTTATCCTTAAAAGTAATATTCTATATTATACAACTTAAACTTGAAAATAAATCGCTTGTGATACGTGGAACATGCTGATTTTTTTAGATACTTGAAAACCATAAATGCAGAGGCAAGTTTAAGCGTGTCATTATTTCGCCCCATACTTCAGATTCTATGCTAAATACACTTACTTATATCGCAAATTAATTAAAGCCATTATTTATTATAATTTTAAAGAGTTTAAAAGAACGTTTTAGCACTCGAGCCCTTCAAAAGCCAGCGAAACGGAAGTTTTTTAGTCGACGCAGATGGCGTGTTACAGTGCTCCCAATAGTTGGTCACCAATCTTTTTGAAGATGACTTGGACAATAAAAACAAACTATAGGTGTGTTACTACCGATGTTGTCAGTCCAATAGAAGGACCAGGTTCAAAAAGTATTTGTTTGGCGTCCTTCTTGGCTAGTGAATCAACAAGACGGTTACCTTTCGATGTGGCATGACCTTTGATTCATCTTAAGGTGACCACATTGTTGATGGATACTTCGGCCTAAAGCTTCCTGACATTCTAAAGTCTATTCAGATTTCATTTACGCCGCGTCAAAACAATTTCTCCCATCCAGCAACAGCTCACGTGACATTTGTTTGCGCTTCTATTGGTTAATCGGTCGTTAGTCATTTAGACGACGCGCAAATATTTTTTGTCAGAGTCGAATTCAGTTCAATTTGGATAATTATAAACGGCGTTTTGGTAGCATTCACCGTGTTGGTTAGTTTGGACATTTTGTATGTTTGATTGATTATAATTCATTATATTATAGTTTAGATATACATATATTGTGTTATTTATTTTTTTTGTTTTTGTGGTTGTTGTTAGTTTGAACATGTTTTACTCTATTTTATGGACATTTAATTGACTATATTTTCTAATTGCTGCGTGACACTATGTCCTCCACAGATACAGCAAATGAAGTCCAGAAAAATGTTTTTACCCCTTCTAAAAAGCGACTGAAAAAGGGACATTTGGTCATCCGTACTAAAGAAATGGTTCTTAATATTTATAAGCATTAAATTTTATAGAACCCTGATATGTTGGTACATGATGTTGAAAGGAGAGTTGCTGATAAAACAGGGATGTGCGCTAAAACCGTTTTTAATGTTATGAAGGAGTATAGGCAGATTCATAAATTTTCTGAACCAAAAAGAAAGCTACGTTATAAACAAATTAGTGGCTCTGTGGATGATTTTGATATAAATGAAATAAGGCGCAAAGTACATCAATTCTTCTTTAGAAATTAACTTCCAACAATTGATAAGGTTTTATAAGAAGTCAACGATGATCCATATTTGTCTACTTTTAAGCGAGCTACATTTTACAAGCTTTTCAAAACCCTTAATTTTAAATTTAAAACTCGAGGAAAAAATAGTTTGCTTTTAGACAAAAATGAAATTGTTTCGTCCTACGCCACAAAAAATAAAACGGTACAGAGAAGAAAAGCAAAAAATATATTATCTTGATGAGACTTGGATTAACGCAGGCCACACCAAATCAAAAGTATGTTTCGATATGTCGGTTTTTTTTATCCAGACAAGCCTTTTTGGATGAACTTTTAACTGGTTTTAAAAACCCATCAGGTATGTGCGTAAAAACAGCTCATTATATGCCATATTGGAAGTGAAGCGTGCGCTTTGTCTCTAATGCACTTTATGTATTTGAGTTGAAAAATCCGGTGACTACCATGAAGAAATGTGTGGAGAATCGTTCAAAGAGTGGTTTTCAAACACCCTACCAAAATTAGAAGATAACTGCATTATTATTCGAGAAAGCTGGAAAAAATATCTACGACATCTAAAAAAGGTGATATTCAAAACAACATAATACTTCACATGTCTCCGTATCATTGTGAACTTAACCCTATTGAATTAATCTAGGTTGACGTTAAACAATACGTAGCAGATAAAAACTCAACATTTAAATCTGGAGACATTAAAAGTCTTTTTGAAGAAGTAATATTATTAATTTCTCCAGAAAAATGGAAAAAGTGTATCGACCATGTTCGCCAAAAAGTTGAAGTAAAAATGTGGGAGTTGGATAATATTATAGAGGTTCAGGTAAAACCACTTGTAATTTTGATTAATGAAGATAGCCTTTCAAGTCTTAACTAATTTATCCGATTCAGAATAGTGCTAAGACAAGTAAGGAAGATTGCTATAATACAGGGTACAAGTTGTCTAATCTAAATACTAGTAGAACAAGAACAATAAAGAACAAAAGTTATCAAAAATACAAAAGGTTTCTTTTTAAGATGCACAATTTTAAATCAAATACCAAATTCAAATACCAAATACCTCTTATATTTAAAGTTTTTTTAATGCTTTTAGTAGATATATATTAGCTATTAAAGAATTTGCAATTATTTGGACACCCTGTACAATATAATTTTATAATATGATTGTTTTAATGCTCTGTATCACAGTAGACATATGTAATGAACTAAATATAATGCAACCATCTCTTTCAAAGTCAAATACATTTATTAATTTGTATTGCAGGTTAACGCAGTTTATGTCACTCACCTATCTTCGTTTATTTTATAGTTTTACTTTACAAAATATGTTTTTATCGTAATAAAAAAATAATTTCACAATTACACTTTTATTTTACATTTTTGCAAGACGGAAAAGTAAAATATTATAAAATAAAATATTATTGTGTAGTACGGATTTTGTGTTTGCGTTTTTTAAATATATCCTCTTATTTGAAAATCGATTTATGATTTCGTCTATATCTAATTTTATACTCTGATGAACACACATAATAAAGCTAAACCGTTAAGGCGATCTTAGGTACTTTTTAAATGCGGTCATCTTTTTAAAAGTCCAAGAGTAATGATTTTGAAAATGTACAAAGAATTTTAAAACATTTGTAAATAATTGGAATGGCAGTTTTGGAGACGACGACGTTAAAAACCATTTAGACAGAATGCTACTTTCCTTTATTTAGAAAGGATCTACGGAAGGGCGCTCGCCTCTCGCGCCTCTCGTACCTCCGCCACTGCTTCACATCTCAAATTTTGTAATTTTTTGCAAACACGATTTCCTTAAATTAGGCGTTTCCACACTTTTTTTCCACTCTATGTATCAAAAATAAAAAAATTACTTTTATAGATTAATAAAATAAGAATCTCTTAAATGTCTTTTTCTATAACATATTTTAATCAATTTTAAAACTATTTTATGATTTAGTAATTTTCACAAGTAATTTATTTGGAATTAAATAATATCAATTTATGAAATAGTATCAATTATTAAACTTAACAATTTTTACTCTGGAATTACAGTAACGATTGCATATACCAGCAATTTTACTATCTAAAATTGCACCAATAACACAATCAAACATTAGTTGGTCACCAGTAGATATAAGAAAAATATTGTAGTTTAAAGTATTAATCAATCGCAATAACTAAAAAGTAATGTTTTTAACCATTGGTTATATGTTACACCCTATATAAAATAATCTTTAGATTTTTAAGTAAGTTCATTAGCAAGCAGTTTTTATACTATAGAGTGCATATTCTAAAATGTCCTTTAATCCACTTATTATTGACAAGACGAAACAGACATATGATAGCAAACAAAGAAAACTGTATAATAGTCATGAACAACACCAAAAACATAATGGAGTTTTTTAACACTTTAAAACTGTTTATGCTACACCAAGTATATTTAATTTCTGTAAGTCTCGCTTTTTGTACTGCAACTGTGGGGGTGCAAATATTTAGCAAGTAGTAATTATTGGGAAGTGCCAATAATTAAGCATCAAGCAAAATATTTTTGAGACTTTTTGTTATTATATTCTCAATTGCTAAAATATTTGCAACCATAATATCTTTTTTCTAATTTTGACTTGTACAATTACATTTTTTTGTAATCGCAGCATACTTTACGCAACTAGATGCACAATGTTGAACATTATCAAACTAGTTTCGAAAAATTCATTATGTAACCAGTTGCGAAAAGAAAACGAATAAAAATAAACCTTTTTTGGTTTTAAAATCAATAATCAGTAATAATGTTGTTTTGGTCCTTATTTTCCATTCTAAATCTGCACAAAATAATAAAACGCAATAGATCTAAATAAACCACTTTCTTGAAATCTAAATAACTTTAACAAGCAGTATAAACACACTACAATAAGTCGTTGAGAATAAATGAATATGATTTTATATGTCAATAAAAGAATGAAGTCAATCATATGCAACTAACAATACAAGAAAGTAGTAATATTCGTTGCCTAGATGTCAGTAATTTTTTACCGAAACACAATTATCTAGTCTAACAGTCTAGTCAAAATTAGAAAAAATAGCGTATGTAACACGTCACAAAATGCCGTTTTATGTAAATCGTTCATGTTGGTGGACCTCGCTCTGCTCGTCCCGCAAATATTCACTCGTTACATAAAATAAGGCATTTCGAATGCTTTCAAAGTTTTAAAGAATCAAAATGTAAATCGTGACTCATAATTTGGAGCTCTGCAAAAATGTGTTACGTCTTTTAATAAAATAAACTGGCTCTATTGTCCAACTTATGTAAAAATATTGCTTGGCAGCTGCAGTGTTATTACATCGAATACCAGAAAAAAGTATTTATAAGAAAAAAAAACTCAAACTAATTGTTTCCGAACTTCTTTGGTATGAAAAATGTATTATCAAAATTGTATGTAACGTTTGGACGTGTACAATAATAAAATTGTAAGCCCAAGGCCCAGTTAATGTGATGTTTATCTAGAACTTTTTAGTAATTAAAAAGGTTTTTCCTAATGTTAATTAACCAAATGAAACTGGTATTTGGTATCAAGAAGATGTAGCTGCATTGGAAAAAAACTATTTAATAACCTGTTCGGTCTCCCGATTTGACCCCTATAGATTACTGTTTATGGGGATATTTAAAAGCAAAAGTGTACATCAATCGATGAATATAGAATACAACTCCAGAATTCAAAGAAGGCCTTGGTAATTGTCAAGCGGTAACTGGCGCTCAAGTTGAACATTTTATTTAAAATAAAATAAATTGGAAATATGATCTGAATATCATGCGAGACTTCCTTATTAAAAAAATTGATGTGGGTTATATTTAAGGGTACAAACACCACATTCGTTTCAACTTTTCTTCCGTAACAATATTTTAAGAAAATATATCTGAACTTAGGTTACAATACGATAACAAAATTTTGCACTTTCTAAAATAAATTTTTCTATTATTATTGTGCCAAATTTTAAAAAATCACTGGTGAAAAGAATCAAAATCCTTTTCAAACTTTAATTTAATATTTTTAGGAAATTGTCATAATTCAGAGAATGTTTCAGAATATTTTCGAAAAGTTGATGAATGTATTTCACACTGTATATATGATTAGTTTGATAAATACTTTTTTACATGGAATCAATTAAAAGGTGTTTAACTCTATAAAATAGCTGACTACTATCAGATAGAAAGTCATTAACCATTTAGGTTATTTTTTTTTTTTTTGATAAAAATGTATCAATAGAAAACATTCGTGACTATTATCGATTTTCATGAAAATGATGGTGTCTCAAGTAACTTTTGCACATTCACAGGTGTCATGCTAGTACTTAACATTTAGTGAAGCCCCAATCGCAGCTACCGTGCATAAGATAGCTTACTTACCTGTGCAAGGGAACACTGTCCCCACGGTCAGCATAGACATCATACAAATATTCGCTGCAACACGACACATACAGGTCTAAGTTACGGGGTTTTTTAACTACTACTCTATCTTTAAATTAATTGTAATTGCATCATTGTTAATTGACGAGAAAAATGTTAAGAAACTGGATAAAAAATTATTGCTCACATTCTTATATTACAAATATCTTATTCTCGTTTTCTAGCAGTCACAAGTAAATCAAACTTTTAAGTAATAAAGAATGCTATAGTTGTTATTTTGTTGTATTTTAATACGTCTACTCTTATGTGATTTTCTTACCCAATGGATAAATTATTTTCTTGAAAATTAGTATTCAACTGAAAAAAGAACTTAGGTATGTAAACAAGTATTAGAAATTAAAAATTAAAAAAAACCGACTTCAAAAACGTGCAGATGCCATCACCACATCTTAACCAAATTTATAAGAAACCACCTCTGAGGTACCCCCTTACTAACAAAAAAAAGAATCATATGAATCGGACAAGGTGGTAAAGCATTATCGCTAAACATACATAAAAAATGAAGAGTTTGAGGATTTTGTCATGGACCCAATTATTAGATTTTGACCAAATTTATATGGGACCATCCCTGAAGTACCCCCTTTCTAACAAAAAAATAATCATTAAAATCGGACACCGTGTTAAAGAATTATCGCTGAACATACATAAAAAAAAATATCGCGACGAATTGAGAACCTCCTCCTTTTTTGAAGTCGGTTAATAAATAAAAGAAAGTGTTTTCTTACAGACGTAGATAGTAAACCCGAGAATAAGAAAAAAAGTAAAAGAAATGAAGAAGGCAAGTAATTTTAAGCCAATTAAAAATTAAAACAGTCGAAAAAACTTGCGTTCTCTTTGTTATACTACGGTTTTAAAATAATAGACAGTGGGAAAATTTCAGTAATGTCTAATAGAGTTGCCATATATCGAAACAATTTTTTGCACTATAAAAATTATGCAAAAGAAAATGTTTAAAATTTATAATTATGAACACTATAATGTATCATACTCAAAATTATTTAATTATTTGTCTTCGAGGTAAATTGCAATACTTACATTTTTAGGTACCTTACTTGAATGTAAAAAACATAAAAATATAGACTACTTAAAAAATTAATAAATTATACAAAATTTGCTTCACATTGACAACACAGCTAGGCCATCTACTAGCTGTCGAGCAGTTTGTTACACGTTGTCATGTGTCTGGGAATTTGTTTTCTTTCGTGAAAACGTGATAGTGCACTATTGGAAAAAAGGAAATCGTTATTTGGCGTAGAAACTATTTAAAGGATATTCGTAGATATCGCAATGAGGGAAAAACATTATTTGAATGAATCCTGACAAACCTGGGTTAATTAAGGGTAGGTACATAATTACAAAAGTTTGGCAAGATTTATAAATTAAAAATCATAGAGATATTTTCTTACAAGGGTTCTCTATAGGATTGACAACACCTCCGTGTAAAGGACGTCGTTTAATAGTTATGGATATTGGCAGTGATACTGGGTGCAGATTTGCGCCGACCGAATATATTCAATATACAGTCCATACGAATTATCAAGAGTTTTTATTTACCTATCGGAACAATACTACTGTAATCAGTGTAAACACTGGGTTTGTTGAAGGTGGGATTAATGTTTTTAAATAAAAAAAAACTAGGATTATCACAAAGACATGGATGCAAATGTGTTTCAAACGTGGTTTCAATCTACTCTATTTTAATTTTATTTATTTTCAAGGATTCGTATTTTATTTTTGTGTTATTTAAATTTAACAGCGAGGCGATTTGTATTTAATTTAATGGTCCATGGAGTAATGATCTGTAGCTTCTTGGCTTTAAAATATTACGATCTGCCTCAGCTTTATTAATCAATGAAATATGAAATATCATTTTTGTTTTTGGTAATAATTAAAATTGTTCAATTTTTAAGCACATTCTATACAATAAAATTTAAAATTATAGATAAAATCATATTCCTTGCCAAAAATAATAACCCATTGCCAAATTCGGCAACATTTTATGAACAGATTGTGAAATTATTACCGAAAAAAACAAAATAATTATTTCAAATTTGACATATTGAACTTTTTAATTTTCAGTATTTTTAAAGAAAGTTGATTCAGATTTTAATATTTCGAAACTAGCACTTCCATGACATTATGGGCCATTATTTACGGACCATTCGTTGTTTATTTAATATTGAGATATCATATATGGCTACTGGCGAACCAACTCTTAAAAAAAATGGTAACTAGCCACGGTAATACCACAGAGGTGGTTTAGAAATGTACCAAGAACAACAGACCTCACTTTAATTGAAAAATTTTTTGTATTAAATTAAAATGCATATTTGTCATATACCAGTAAAACATTAAAATTGCCCGCAACTGGAATCATTAACTCCTACCCCGTAAGCTCTGAAAATCTCGACAAATTTTGGAGCTGTGACAGATGTCAGCATTCCACTACACATTCCTGAAATTTTTCCATTATCTATTATTTTGAAACCGTAGTATAGGCAACGTATTTATTGGACAATCTTGAAGGTAAAAACATAAAATAGCAAAACTGAATAGCAAAATTGAAAATGTACACATTGGTGGTTTTGGCATTGCATGAACGATGTATAATTTATAATCAAAATGATGCATTGATTCGTTTAATTAGTCACAAAAAAAGTGAGCAATAATTTTATTCCAATTCTGTTTTATATTCGCAAAGCTTTTTTTTTATTTGGAAATATAATGAGAACATAGCATATTGAAGTGAGGTATCACTTCTGTTTGCAAAAAGGGAATTTTGAATTTAATATGCAAGGTCCCAAAAGTACTTCGAGAAACTTGATTGCTGGCGTTATTTTAAGACGAAGACTTCCAATAAAGTATGATCCTTAGGAGCAAACCAGACCACTCGGGAAAACAAAAATGTTTAAAGGATTTTCTATAAAATTATATTTATATGTGCGCCACTGGCAATACTTCGCAGTATTATGTGTCTCGAGAATATTGTAAGATTTAAATTTGTGCAACTATAAGGCAGCACTATATAGAGAGGTTTAAGAAAAAAAGGTGGAAAATTCTCCCATTTAAAAACTACTAGATATTTATTAAAACAAAGAACAGCGAATTTTCATAGATTGGCGCATGTTTTTTTAATTCCTTTTAAAAAATTTTAAAATAAATACTTTTCGAAGGTATAGAAAAAAATTCAAGGTTTCTCCACCTTAAGTTTTGTTATTATTGGTATTCTCTGGAAAATTTCACAAAAATCGGACTATAAATAAAGGCTCAGAAAGAATTACAAATTTTCAAGGTGTTTAGTTTGCTCTTAATGACTTCCGTTACTGAGATACATAGTAGTGAACATAAAAAAATAATAATTTGTAATATAATGATTTATAAAAATATTTAACGAACATTACATAAGGATATCACTGGTCAATTCTAAAAAGTAATTTTATTTTTAAAGTAAGTTTATTTAAATATAAAGTTTTTCAAAATACCTTTGGGACACCCTGTTTCGCAAAAATTTAAAGGTGGGATGCTTTATATCAACACAGTATGCTGTTTTTTCCGAAAAGATAGACGAGTTTATAATTTTTGATAAAAGTAATGTTGGTGTGATATTTAATGTAATATAGAAAATATACATGCTAATGTACAATGTTAAACAAGACAAAAATTTGTTTAAAGAAATATAAAAAGCCTCCGTTTTGTATATTTTCAATATTTTTAAAATATTCCACCAAGTAATAACGTTACAGCCCAATAATATGAGGTTTATTCTTTTAATTGGGTCAATCAGGTTTAAACTTTTATCACATCGACCTCGTCTGGCCATAGGAAGAAAGAGAACCCCACATTTTCCTTACGTTAAGTGGCTCAAATTTTCTGAAACTCGGGTATGTTGTTGTACTCAACCTAGTAACCAAAAGTGTCAATGGGCCCAACTCAATTCTATGACTAGTTTTCGATATACAGGGTATTAAAGTTGAAAATTGCCCAGCTTTTGGAATTTTTATTTTCCAATTTACAAGCTAGGTTGAACTTCTGTTGCATACACACGTTTAATACATGTTTTAGTAATATATTATTACATATGTACAATTAAAAATATTTTAGTTACAGGGTGATTCACAAATGTATGATGGTATTTTTTTGCAACATCTTACTAATTCTACTGTGACGTCAGGGAAGCATATTTTCAGACAGTACTACTCAATATGTCATTTTGGCGACAAAATATTGCACAGTACACATTTCTTATACAGAGTGTTTTATAGAGAGAACCACAACATAAAATTATTATTTTAAGCATTATTTTAAGACCCTGTACTTATGAATTGATTTTTGAGAAAGGTAATATCACTAAAATATGTGTACCCCTAAGCTTCAAAATATACAAGGCGGCTTATTTGTTGAAAGATATTCTATTTTATTAAAAGTACAAAAACCATGTAACCATTTTCTCAGTATAAAATAATGTTTTATTCGAATGTGACATTAAACGTCGTTTTTCGGCGAGAAAACATAATCGAAAAGGAGAACTTTTAAATATACTACAAACGAAACTACTAAAAAGTACTTTTAGGACCCAGGCCTCAAAAGTAAACCGGCTCCATAGCAGAGAACATTCTGTTTTATTTTTGATTTACCTGACGATATTTTTTTGCTAGTAGTCCATAATCCACATGTACATCAAATTTGAATAAAAACATTTTTAATTGAATAAGAGAAATACTAAATAAAGTATAATTAAATCGATTTGACACTAGCACATTAACATGACAGCAATTGTTCAATTGCTATTAAGAATGTACCTACCTAGTCATTCTTATCGATCACAACCATCTCAGTTAAAAGAAAAATTGGAAATATCATTTTGGATCATTATTTTTTTTTTAATATCTATAAGCACATTCGAATAAAAAATAATGTATGAAACACGGACGAAAGGTGTATTTTTGGACTCCTACGAGTTTCCATGCCCAAATTTCGTCTTCGTGCGATATGGCAATCATATCCACTCTTGTTGCATAAACTACTATTTTTATGTTGTTGTTTTATTTACCTATAATTTAAGACTCTAATTTAGGTTTTATATTTTGTTTCAGCTAAGAATCCTAACTCAAAAACAAAAAATGATATCGACTTGAAATTTTTAGCAAACATCTAGCTCTATAAGAAGCCCTTTGATTTTGAAAAAAAATCTGATTAAAATAGGGGGTTTTAGGCGGGGGGCGGGAGTAGGTTGATATTAAAAAAAAATATAAATCTAAAATTAAAAGCGATATCAACATGAATATTTAGTAAAAAATCAAGCTCTATAAGGAGGTGAGGCCTATTGAATGTGAAAAAAAATTGAATAAAAGTGGGGGAGTGAAGAGGGTTGAAATATTTAAAAAAAACTCAAAAACGAACAATAATATTAACTTGAAATTTTTGGAAAAAATCAAAGGGCTGAAGCCTATTGATTCTGAAAAAAATCTGGTTGAAAAAAGGGTGTCTGTTAAACTGTGAAGAGTATAATTTATAATGCCACACATTATGTATCTTCATTCTAGTTTGTATCTGTATAATATTGTTATGGGACTGAACTTATAAAATAAACATTTTGTTCACTTGTTTTATTTGCCTATAAAAGTTATTTAAAAAATATATTATTTTATGTGTGACAAATTGTGAAAATAATTAAATTTACAATAAAAACTGAAAAATGACAGGTAAAGTTTCATGTAATATTTTTTACACAAAAAGATTTCTACATAATCTGATATATATATGAGCCGTTTATTTTGAAAGTGGCCTAAGTCCGTTTATACTTAAATGATATTCATTATCGATAATGTCCGAAAGGCAGTAATAAAGGTAATTTTAATTAATTAGTATTTAACAAGTTAACCTCAGTTTTTGGACAATTGCATTAGTTGAATAATTAGTACGTTTAATTAATGCAGTTAAACAAAATTTACATAAACCCTTAGATATCTCAATTTATTTACCAACAGAAGGATGCAGGTAGTCTAGGACCCAGTGCGGGTCCCAGGTTCTCAAGACAAAGAAGATACTGGTTTTTTCATAGCATCAAACATTTAGCAAAATTTTATATGAAGGATGAGTAAACTGGACATAATTACTTTTTCTTTCAGTTCACATTACTTTACATGTGATTCCAGATAGTGCATTGACTCAGTGCGAGTTTTATCTAAAAACCAAGCGTGCGAGTCTAGGACCAAGTGTGGGTCCCAGGATCAGTGTGGGCCTGCTAAAACTAATTTTTTGACAAATGAAGGAAACTGACTCTTTTCTTTCGAGTCACACTACTTTACATGGGATTCCAGGTAGTACCATAAATCAGTGAGAGTTTTTTTATATGGCGGACGATGGTAAACTGGACATACCTACTTTTTCTTTCGAATCACATTACATGGGTAGGTCATAACTATGAAGACTAGGAAAAGTAGGCGAATCGGCATTGGTCAAATTTCAAATTTCCGTCCTTCTTTTTATAAAGTTCGTAAAATTAACTGTAGTTGGCATGTCGAATGGCAGCGTTATCAATTTTCTATGTAAGTCAATGTATATTAAAGTGATTTTTTTAAAAATTTGTGAAAAGAATCAAGACAATGTGAAAAAAAGTACCTGAGTACAAGTAACATGACTGACAAAAAACATCAAAGCAAGATTTACGTCGTTCCAGATTGTAAAACAGGATACAAATCAAATGTAAAACTAAAGAAAACACAAGGAGAAATCAATTCAATGTCTTTTTAAAGCTTCTAATGTAAGTAGTATCATGTATTTATGTCTAAATATAATATTTATTGTAATCTAGTGACAATATGTATCTTACGGAGTGTAGTTTATTTTATTACAAGTTTCTATAATATAAAATTTTACAGTCATAGATCCTGACTTACAAACAACAATAATTATACATTAAATTTAACTTACTAGAAAAGAAAATTTATTTTTTATAGAGTTTTAATGTTAGATAACGAGTTGCTGTTATTTTTTTGTTGAACCCCAATTGTGTCACTGTAAATGTTTTTTATAGGATACTAAACGCTTAGAACAGTGGCAGCATATATATCGTTCCTAGTGCCGATAAAGCACTTTCTATTTTACTTATCAAATTTCAGCATTTAACAAACCTTTTCGAATTTAGTCATACCTACCTAATTTGTATTTTATATAGATACAATTAAATAATTTATCAATTAAAACATGCAAGACTTATTTAGAAATAAATACAACAGTATGTTCTGTGCTTTATTTAGCTATAAACAAGTTTATTTTTAATATTTTGACAAAATTATGTATAATTCCCATAAGAAGCCACGTATTTTGAACACCGTTAGCAGTACCAGAGCCCATGCGGTTAATTATAAAAGCTTAATTAGCGTGCGTTTTTTAGGACCGTATTTTGAGTATGCCGATTCGCCTCATAGTCATAACTCAGTTTTTTATACGGCGGACGATGGCAAACTAGACATACTTTTTTCTTTCGAATCACATTACTTTACATGGGATTCCAAGTAGTGCCATAACTCGGTGCGAGTTTTTTTGTAGAACCCCGTTCGGATTTACATTAAATTCAGTGCGAGTCTAGGTCCCAGGTTCAGTGTGGACCTGTTAAATTACCAAGACCAAAAATACTGATTTTTGATAGTGTTGGCAAACATCTAGAAAAATTTTATATAGTGGATGCTGGTAAATTGGACATACTTTTTTCTTTTGAGTCGATTTAATTTACACGTGATTCCAGATAATAACCATAACTCAGTGCCCGGTAACTAAAATATTTTTAATTGTAAGTATGTACCAATGTAAAACTGGAACATGTAGTAAACGTGTTTATGCAACAGTAATTCAATCTAGCTCGTAAGTTTGAAAATAAAAATTCCGAAAACTAGGCAATTTTCAACTTATATAATATCGAAAACTAAGACATAGGATTTGAGCCTACTGACACTTTTGGTTACTAGGTTGAATACAAAAATATACCAAAATTTCAGAAAATTTGACCGATCGCCAATTTACATAAGGAAAGTGTGGGGTCCTTTGGAAATCAAGATAACTGGGATTTTTTTGCAGATTGACTAAAATGATTGAGCTATCAGTCTTGTTGTCTTTACGATTAATACGCGACTTTGTTTAAATTCTTCATTAAACGTTTAAAATAATCACTGTTTGGCCTTGAAGCTTTTTTTGTTTGTATTCTAAGAAAAACGAATAAAGACGTTGTTACTTGGTTTCCATAATGTAGGTACTTAATTTTTTTTCTGTATAAATTATATAATAAAAATATTGATATATTTCATCAATTAGCGACAAGATGCAAAATGCGGTAATTTCAGTTATAAGAAATAAATGATTTTGGAGTACTTACGTTTCGACATATTGTCCGTACTGTTTGTATTTTTGATAAAGCGATGCTAATTTCACCGACACTATAATGGTTGGTATGAAAAGTAATAAACTGCTAAACAACGAAACCCAAAATCCATTCTGAAAAAAAAAAAGGGTTTTAAAACAATATATAGTATCCAGATTATTCATAATATACTCCAAACCTTAAGATATACACAAATTATTTTTGAGGACCGTTATAAATAACTGAATCAATTTCATTTACTGTTTGTTAAAGTTAATGAAAGCTTTTTTTTATAAATAAGCAATTACAATTTGTTCTAAAATTTGATAATTCTTAAAAATAAACATCTAAAAACTCACCCATGGTAAAAGGATTTTGTCACAAGCAGATGTCACTGTAGAATTTATGGCAACATTCAAAGGTCCGCATTGTCCCAACTTAAACTTAGTTACATGTATGACCCGTTGTATATAACTCTGAACCTGATCTTTCACTATATCTCCAAAAGAAGTGGCAGCCTAAAATCATTAAAGCATACCTTCTAGCGTTTGTTTTCAAATAAAAAAATAATCTTACTTTTCTATATATTTTCTATCAATTTAGAATCATCTAGAGAGATACTTACATTGATTAGCATTTTTGAACCGTCTTCTCTCAATTTATGTTGAGCTTCTTCAATTTCATTTACAAGATTATGAATTGCTTCCGAAAAAGTGGTAGAGTTCATTTTGATTTGTAAATCCAAACTTAGAGCAATATTCTAGAAAAATATTCATAAATTAAATACATAAAAATGTCTTCAATTTGCAACTGTAATGCAATACAATCAAAAGAAAATGTCTAAAATGTTTAATTAAACGTGGATTCATGTTTGACTTTCAAATGAAACTTAGCATTGGGGCATAGAAATAATATAGATTAAGCAGAAATTGAAAGCAATTGTGCAAAAAAAACACGTCTCTGCGCATTACATCGCAAAATAGTATGTCTATAAGCATGCGAAGTATGCATGACTTGTCCCTCTAGCGTTTTCAGGTATATTAATATAAACTGCCATAAAATAATTTCAAATTAATGATTTAAACAGTTCAGATCTATGAAATAACGCAACAAAATAACTTATAAACATTTAAATAATCAACTGATAATATTTATGTGTAATTACATGTACAAATATATATTAAATACATGTTCACCATACGATCATCTAGATTTAATATTGACTTGGCAACACCGGTCAAATCGGGAGATCCAAGGCTATATGACGCTTACCTTTAAAGGACTGTTTCCTTATTTACAATATTTCAGTTTGTAAAACGCGTCTATTTGTGATATTTTAGTTGGATTTTGTGTTTTATTATTTAATTACACGGTGTTAATAGCATTTTTGAATATCTTTTTTATTAGTTTTGTGTAGCATTAAATACTAGGTACAATAAAAGGCACTAATATTGTCTGATGAAAGTGTAATTGAATCGGTTATTTGGAAAAGGGCACAAATGACAATTTCGGCCATTTTCGTTTTATGCAATTTTTTAATAATTTTAATGAACATGAACCATTTGGTACAAAAAGGGAACAAAATATCACGGTAGAACTCCTAGAACTACTTTAACTAGATACCCGTTTCACTGCGTTTGGTTCGAAAAGGTAACATGCGACACAAACATGTGACCTTTTCGAAACAGTTCCGCTGAAAGGCGTTTCGGCGTGTCACACTTCAGGCTGTAAGATTAAAAGTTTAGTACAAAATTGTTGAATCAGCAGTGACTTTATGTTGTGAACATATAGATAGGCTCACTCCGTCGTCTTTTTTACTAGTAGAGCTTGCCGGGTCCAAGGCGAATCTTCCTGCTGAGAGGCATATACTGCCAAAGTTCTCATCAATATAAAAAAGTTAAAAATTTGAAATCCTTAATCCAGTTATTCCCCCAGTAAAAAAAATAATTTTAAAGTATGATACTTAACTGGCCAACAGCGGTCTCCGAAAAGATGGCTGAAGAAGACTTCTAATATTTTTTATGAAAATTCTTTACTATTATAGTTACTTAACTTACTAAATAATATGTAAAACTATATTTTTTTAATAAATAATGTATCAGATTTTTATTTTTAATGTTTTATTTTGAATAAGTTTGGAAAAGAGCGCAAATGAAATAAATATAAAGACATATTTATGATATAGATTGTTCGAACATCCATGAAAAATAACGATAATTAGTTTGCTCACATACTAAGAAATGTATAAAAATATGTACATAGCTAATTTATGCACGCAATTTGATTAAAAAATGTTTTCTTTTCTACTGTAAAATTGAATTTCAAATAACCGATTCAATTAATGTATTAAGCAGCTGTATTATGATTATAAGATTTATCTTAAGAAGGGTATCCAGATAATATTTATTTCTAGAAATATATACCTACCTATGATTATGCAAATAAAGACCTGTTTATTTATATGCAGGCTGTCCAGCGACGAGGAACACTATTTGTATCTGAATCTGATACACTAATGAATGGATTTTGTATATGACAAAAATACCTTTATTTTAGCTCCAGAATACGCTCCTGAAGTTATGTACCGTACTTATCGAATACCCTGAATTGTAACGTTTGTTTAATTATTTATAGTTTATTTATTTATTTATTTATTTAAAACACACCATTTACAATTTATTTATGACGTGCTAATTAATTTATATAATACTTAGGCACAATTTATTTATTAAAATTTATCTTTTCTGTACAACACTTAACTTCAATCTTCAATTCTTCAAGCCAACTTTGGACTAGTAGTTTCTAGACGAACTCGAATGTCCGAAATTTCATCTCTATGACTCAACGGCCACGTACCGCGCTTTTTCTGGTACTTTCGAGAAGCGGTGCGTTTGTCTCTATATTGCTAGACTTCATACCGCGGGCAAGGAGTAAACAAAACACAGGGTAGGTTTTTGCGCGACAATAATTTTACAGTTCTACCATTTTTACTTGTAACGGAAGTAGATGTAAAATTTATTATTTTAAATGGGATGCCACTTCTTTTATTCCAGATACCGATAGAACATGAAATCTTAGGGTCTTTTGTATAATAAAATTGGTAATACAGTACTTATTATTTTGCATTAGGCATAAGCTGTGCTTTTACAGCGAACATGTGACAACTACGATATCCCCGCTATCGCTATGTTCTCTGGTTTAGTCACTAATATTCCGATTCTAATTCTAGTCGACCGCGACGAATGGCTGTTGCCCTGTTGCCATTTTATTAACTTGTATACTAGTCGTATGCCTAACATGAAAAAATAAGCACTGTATACATTGGAAAAGGGAAATATTTTAACCCTATATAGAGGTCACCGATGGGATCACAAAAAACCCCATTTAGTATTAGGTCTTGCGACCTTTATAACCGAGTTAAATGGTCTTTTTTGAATTTGGCTCATTTCTTCCGTGTTCTATAACTTTTGAATCTCGCAGAATATTTTTTGATATTTGACATAGATAATCTAAACCTATAGGACAATTTATCGAAACATTAAAAAATTTCAAAATCCAGGTCCGGTATAATAAAAATTATTAAAATGTGACCCTCCCTAAAACAACGCCCTATACATCAAATTATTAAAATTAAATTTCAAATTTGGAAAGAGCATAAAAAACTGAATAAATTCATCAACTTTTTATTTTTCCGCATACCGTTTTACTACCAAAATTTTAACGTTAAAATGTACATTGAGAATTTTAGTCTATACAAAATGTAGTTGAAGGTGTTTTAGTTTTCTTCATTAAAATTAATTTTACTTAACTTTTTAATGGAAATTCCTGAATTTGAAGTAACAATCACAAAAACCAATAAAAATCATCATTAAGGGCCGATCTTTTCACCTCTGAATATGTAGGTTTACTTGACAGATTAACAAACAACAGTCCTATAGTTTAATCAGCAAGTAGTTACTTTCAGCTTTACTCAGAGGTGAAAAGATTGGCCCTAAATGTAAAAAGAATTGAAAATACATTTAAAATTAGACGGAAAATAAAAAAGCTTCTAATAGGAAAAGCATTATTTACTTGGAGTTTTTTGAGGATGAACTTGACTGAAATGAATTAATAAAATATTACAAAGTAACATTGTTGTGATTACGTATTTTAATTGATCTATGTAATACAATTTTACTTTTAAGTTTTTATCTAAATCTAATTCTTGTATTTTTCATACTGTATATTTTACATTGTTTTTCTTTTTTATGTGTTATTTGTTTTGTCAACGAGATGTAAATCTTCGTATTTTGATTTGAACATAAAATAAATTTTGTTAAAATTATTCTTTATCAAATTACGAATTGCCAAATTATAACAGAATATTGAAAAAAATGTAAATAATAAAGCAATAGCTACTAAAACCTCTAATCAACTTACCATCGCTTCTTGGGCTCTTGTCCTCATCGGAGCCAAAATCTTTTCATCATAGGTTGTTACATGAAGAATGCTTAGTTTTAATCCAGACTGAAGCGGCAAATAAGCTGGATTACCGTCCATTTGATCTACAAGGCTTTGCAATACATCCGATAATTTTTTCAGACTCATATTCGTAAAGTTCTCTCTCAACTAAAACAATATCTAAATCACTATTCTACTAAAATTAGAAAACGGATTTGAGGACACTAATAAACCATGAAAAAGAATGTATGATTTTATTCTATTATAGTTACGAAAGCAAGAATAAAATTATAGTCCTAACACAGAGATGACTGTGTTATCATTAATAAATAATATTAAATGAAGTAAATATGAAAAAATTTATTATTTCCCTAAAGCAAAAATTAATAATAAAAAAGTTATTCTTCATAAAAAGTTATTCATAACTTAAAACCTAAAATTAAATCATCAGATATCAAATTTTATGAGTATAAGAGGTTTGTCAAACATACATGTACTTAACTCTTGCCAAAAATAATTTTTTAGACAAACTTCGTATACCACTCATAAAATTAAAATCCGATGATTGTATTTTAGGTTTTAGACTATCTACAATTTTTTATGAATAATATAGACTATCTACAATTTTTTATGAATAATATATATATTTTTTTATAAACCTAATAATAAAAAAGCTTTCCATATGTAGCCAACTTACATACACACTAAATACTCTAATTATACGCAACAATAATTTGTTTAATTTTCATAGGAAAACTTACCTCATCTTGAAAATGATCAAAGTTGATCCCTGGATCAAAACGGGACAAATTCCTCAGTATATTTATATTCGTGTTATTTAAAATGGTGAAATGGGGATCGACAATTTTGTCCAACTGATTTTCAATGGTATCCAAAATTGATGACACATTAAATTGTTTTGCGAGATCATCAACGTTAAATTTGTTTGCCAGATTGAAAACTTTATAGATACTCTCATTGTTGTAGCACAAATTCAAGATAGTACTGGCACTAATATCTAGACCAGCATCACGAAACCGGTAGGATTTTACGATGTAATCATCAACAACACTTAATACTTTCGAGTTCCCTGGGTGCCTTAAAGGATAACAGACGCCCCTGTCTCCGACCATGCCGAGTATCAAGGTTCCTAGCGTTATGGCTCCAATGACAAGAGAAAATATGAACATCAACATTACAGCACTGAAAAATTTAATGATTATTAAATTTTTGCAAATAAATGTTAAGTTATTATAAAAAATATGTCTCAATGTTACATGAAATTGCAGTTTTAATAATTAATTTCTAACTATTCTTCAAGACGCCTAGTATTCCAATTTCGTTTAATAACCATTATACCTTTGATGCCCCACGTTGGGCGCCAAAAGTGTAGCGGTTTGACTAGATTTTTTAATGAATTTTATTGATTTTAAGTGAGCTCAAAATTGATATTATAACGTGGATTCTAAAAATTAACCAGTCTACGTCAAGTTCAGAAGTAATTTCCCCTGTTCGCGGATCAAAATGTATTTTAAAATTAATTCAATTGAATAAGAAAATTAATATAAAAAACGAAAGGATAAAAGAAAAAATAGGTATTTCGTTGAGCGCCACCAAGTTTTCTTGAATCCTGTTTTATATGTTTTTTAATTATCAGATCGTTAAGTCGAAAATGGTGAATACGGCCGTTAAGCAGTGAAACATTCAGAATATTTTAAATTGTACCACTATTTGTTACTATTGAATTCTGAACTAAACTGACACACTAATGGTTTTTAAAATATTTAAACTAAATTCCTATTAAAAAGAAAACTTTGAACAACCTGAACTTACCACATTAAGAACTGACCACCGGCACCCTTGTTGCAGCAATTATCACTGTACCCATCTGGTCGTTTACCACATATTCCGCAAATCAAACCAAGAACAATACAGATGGTTATGATCAGTAATACACAACTTATTGCCAAACCTCCGTAATAACGGTATGGAGAATAGTACACCAGATAAGCAAAACTGTCCTCCAATGTATTTTCTCCACGATTTATTTGCCTTTGTATGTCCGATATCACTTGTGTAATGTTATTCAAATGGGTTTGTATCTTTCTACCTAAAAAGAACGAAATGAATAAAATTAAAAAAATATTAATATCTAAATTTGCGCCCAAGGGGTAAACCGCCCTAAAAATGTTGAGCACTAGTACAGATTTTGTTCCAAATAGTACACATATTATGCAAATAGTACAGAAATAGTAACAAATTGTAGATACATAGTACACAAATCGTGAATAAACAGTACACAAGGTAACATTTGAGAAGGAGAGACAAGCTACAGGCAGAATACAGCAAATACTGCCGTGTTAAAAGTGCTGTCGCCTATCTTGCATCGGTTGCGATGTCCTAAATTATTTTCATATTATTACGTGTTCAGACGTGAAGATATCGTTTTCGGTCGCCTTACGCTTTCGCTTTACGCCTGTCGCCTGCCTCGGTCTCGCGTTCCCAAATGGTACCTTAAAGTAGATGTAATTTGTTTTATGAGCTTAAAATTTTTCTTTCGGGTCACCACCTCTGCTGTGAAAACCCTACACCATTATTACCACATTAATAAAAGTTTCAGAAATTTTTATTTTTGCTAGTTTCAACTATTTGCCGACCTAATAGGCTGTTGCATGTCATCATTTATAATTAATATTTGCAAAAAAAATGAAAATCCTTGTAAAATATAAAAAAGCATCTTGTCGTCATAGGAAAAATTGTTAATTTTCACAGGCATTTAAGGCAATATTAGCGATATTGGAAGCATGTTAATATTTTGGTTACTAAATGAGGTCATCATGTTAATTAACAACAATTAATTACTTTGCCGGAGTCATAAGTGGCTGCAAATTCAGCTTTAGATTTTAAATATTGAAATGAAAATGATATCTAATTTGCAGCTACGTTTCATTTTTGACCATCCTACAATCCATTAATTTCGTTTTTGTAATTTTTGACAATGTTGTCGGCCCTGTGTCGAATTGCAAAATCGACCAATTTTAGAAATAATGTTAAATTTTTCACCTGCTTGCTGGCCTACTATTAATGTGTATTCAATCCGTATAGAATCCGAGACCGACGGTATTTGTACATATTGTGAGAGAGTGTGAAAATTTTATTTAAGATCTATTACCGGTAATAAATTTATTTGATTTAACAATAAATACCTAGACCCATGCAAGCCATTTTAATGAGCTGCTCATCGAATTACTATTGGGTATTCAGGTATTTTCCGTCGTTATAGAATAGTTTTTTCTGTTATTGTAGTTTTGCTACCAATTTAAATTTAGCTTTATTTTAAAATAATACCTTTCCAATTTGAATCGTTTTATATCAGAATTAGGTTTTTAGAGCAAAATTTTTAGTCCAGTATAGAGAACCAGATAACAATGAAAATTCCACACCTGTAATTTTGAACCAATCAAAATACGTGTTTTTGACAGATCACCATGGCAACGGAGGTATTTTAGTGGAAATTTTTTTCTCGTGGGGTACCCAACAGCGAATTATACTGGAAAGTTTTTGACGTTTACAATAACAGACCATTTTTGACAGACTGGTTTTTATTTGTTCACATAATAGGTTTAGTTTTGATACATTTTAGTTACAATGCTAAGGTGTTTTCTATATTCTTCGGCCACTTCTTTTCTTCTTAATGGCGAAAATGCAGGACTTTGGATGCTTTGAATTATGTGTCTATGTCTAATAAAATATATATAATATTTAGACACTAATTTATTCACCTTTTTCCCATTCAGCACTTTGAATTTTGCGTAGTTTAGGTGCAAATATTCGTGGACAATTCGGAACAAATTTTCGTTTTTCAAGTTGGAGCCACAATCCTCTATTAATCCGAGTAAGTAAGTCATGGTGCAATGATTGATCATTACATCAGACAATTTCACGCATATTTTGCATAGCGTATGATTTTCAAATCGATTCATTTTTAAACAAATAGGTAATTTTGTTGGTTTTACTTGCTGTGCAATATTCTTTATCGCAACAAAACGCGAGTTATTTAATGTTTTGAACTGTCAAAATACAATGATCACAGCCTCCTACGATTGATGCTTGCTGACGCTGGTTATGAATTTCATACCATTTTAAAGCGCTCATAACGCATGTTAATAAAAACGCAGAAAAACAATTTTCTACCACTTGTAGTTATTCAAAACTTACGTAAAATTAAAGAATATACTATTTTCTATTTTCAAATGGTATTCCCATGCAACTACAATGAGTAGAAATAAGCAATTTGAAAGCCTAAATAATTGCAGCGAATCATTTTTTTACGTCGGGCCGCTTGACAACTTCAAAACTGAAATTATATTCGAGGTTAGGGTCTCACTTAGTTACCATGACAATTCAACAATCAAGGCGACAACACCTTTTATGTTTCACTGGTGACTTGGAGAAAATAATTTGCATTGTTGAGAAACGAAAAATAAATTTTAAAAATATTTAATTTTCAACCATAATTCGGTGTGGAATTTTCTTACCGAATACCACGCGAGGTCAAATTAATATCAGGAAATTTTTTCGAGCTCATGAATATTTTGAAAATTTCCCGAGTCTGCGACTATTCATGAGCTCGAAAAAATGTCCGGAAATAATTTGACCTCTAGTGGTATTACTAGTGAAAATTTTGGCTTCTTTTGGCAAATTTCACTTCGTGCAGAGATGAGAATGATTGGAAGTAGGTATTATATATACCTACATATACATTTTTCGGTTTTTTGTCCAGTTTTTCTATTTTACACAAAAACGATGCGTTTTCATGAAAGCTTTTACCAAACTTTTTATGAAGATCAAACCATTTTCTATCGATTATATCTTTATAAATTTTTTGTCAAATGTCATATTTTTGTCACTAGAGTGCGCCAAGAAAAACAAATGTATAAATTTTGCGGTTTTTCACATTGTACATAAAAACAATGCACTTTGATAGAAAATTTCAACAAAGTTGCAGAGCGAAAAATGTCCTATTTTCCGGAAACCCATCGTTTTCGCCGCTATTGCGCATGCGAGTAAAGTGAGAGTCGTTTTTTCAATAAATGATCATTCAATTTTTGTTAAAACTGTCCGCTTGGCCAAAAAAATGTAGTTGCAACATTATGGATTGTGGAATTTGTTTATGAACAATACAAAAAATTGAACAGCAACTTTCTAGCGAGCGCTGTAGCGGCGGAAACGATGGGTTTTCAGAAAATCTATTTCTTAGCTTCGATAGAAAATTTTCTATTCTACAACTTTACTTTAATGACATTTTCCACAAAAGTGCGTGGTTTTCATATGACTGCGAAATACCGCAAAATATATACATTTTTTTTTGCGCGTTTTAACGGAAAAAATATGAAGTTTGTCAAAAAATGTATAAGGATATAATGGATACATAATCGTTCTTCAAAAAAAATCCAGTCAATTTTCTTATGAAAGCGCATCGTTTTTGAGTAAAATGGAACAAAAAAAAACGCCAAAAAATGTATATATACCTATATGTATACATAATTCGTTCTTCCGATCATTCTCATTTTTAAGCATATTAAAAATTTTTAAAAGAAGACAAAACCTTCATTGTTAAGTGGGCGTATCTGTTGTACTAAAAATTTTCGTTTCAGGGTAATTTTTGTCTAATTTCGGTGGACTATTAATGAGCCACTCATCGAACTGGGAGGTTCTGTTTTAATTTGGGATTAATTGTTGCCGACGTGAAATTTATTTAATTGAATACGAAATATCCAGACCCACGTGTTCCGTTTAAATGAGACGTTCTATAGAACTTCTACTAGGTATTTAGTTGTTTCCCGTGGTCAGAGATTTTATTTTAGGATACATTTAGTACTGAGATTTTCTTTTTTTATATAACATAACTGAAACTAGTTGCACCTGTTTTTCTTTAAGAATAATACATTTATATGGGCTATTAATTTTATTCTATCGATATATTAAAAATAAACATAATAATTGTTTAAAATCATATGTAGAAATATGGAATAAATATATTAATATTTTATCAAAAGATTAATTAAATTAACATAAGTCAAAAAAATTTAAAGATGGTATCTACTTACCAAATGAAAGTATAACCTTGGCCTAAAAACTATTGAAATAAAAGTGTCCAAACATTACGATAATTGATGTTTACTATTTAATAATAAAAATATGTTTTCTTCTAAAAAGCCCATATAAATTAAAATATATAAAAAGACTCGTTAGATGCACATATAAGCCATTGGAAACATCTAAAAATATATTTATTTTTAAATAGTTCCAATATCAAGTACAGGCGGCGCTGCGATCATAATTTCAAATTCCAATAGGAAAAATATCTACGTAAATTTACCTAGGGTTTTTTTTTATAAAAAATAAATGTCTTACCAGCATCTTCAACTTTCACCAGAGCTTGTTTTAATGTATCGTTTAGACTACTGGTAATTTGCCTTTCAATATTATCAAGCTTATTTTTTCCTTCTTCAGCCGCAGTTTTCAATAGATTTAGGTTTAATTTGCCAAGTACCTCCATCGCCGGTGTAACATCAGGAAGCTGTAAACGTTATTTTATAAAAGGTTTTGTAAAGTTTAAATGTTGCACAATATTTTTTATTTTTTAATATTGTCAAGGATCTAAAAAATCAAGGATTATATGTATAATACAGTATTTTTGACAATTTTAAATAGTATTATTGTTAGGGCAATCATATGAGAGAGAATACCATTACTAGCTTCTTATAATATTAAAAGGGCGCTTCCCATCTTTTTAAAATTGACCTACTGGATTCCCCATATGTACATGTAATAAATAGTTCATCCACTTCAGATCTTAATCATATTTTTTCAATTGTTCAAACAATTATAATTCAATTATCCAATTGTATAAAATGCTCATTAATATGAATATATTACCGCCCTATAATATTACATACCTATTTGCTCTTGAAAATAAATCAGTTTATACATGTCTCACAAAGTTCCTATGATCAATTAACCTACTAATATAATTCGGTTTTACCAAACATTTTATTCCTCATTTCACGATAAATAAATTTACAATTTTCACACACGTTTACATCGCATTTTTCATATATGCCGATGCTGTAGAGAGGTATTTGAAGATTTGAGAACGAGCCTGAACGACGTCTGGCCAGAACTAGCTCACAATATTTATCTAGAAATCTTGACCGTCAATGTCATGGATGGTCTAGAGCAGTAATTCGCCACGGCACTTTTGTGTGCCACGAAATTCTAAAAGTGTGCCGCCAAATTTTAGATATATAATAATGTTAATATTATGAAAAAATAAGATTTAAAATGAAAAATACTTTTAACATGAATAGATATTTAAATCCATAACATATTTTTATATTATTTCATTATTTGTTTTGCAACGCGTTCTTTCTTAGTGCCGGATTATAATGAATCAAACATGTTTATTTCGGAAGCGGTGACCAGCGCGGTTTAATAAAAAGCTTCGCTCACCGCTCTGCTCGCCGCCTCACTATAATCCTGGCCTTAGAACCATATAACTAAATTTTATGCCTCAAGTCGGCTAAACAGCCGAGTAGATCTTTTAACACAACAACAAGATAATTTAAAAGCTAATTTAGAAAAACAGCAAGATAATTTGAAAGCTAACAAGAACAGGCTAGAGTAGAGTTGGAAAGGCAAATTAGAGCTAAAATGGCTGAGTTAGAAAGAAAAATTCACAGCCAAGCTTCAGTAAGCTGACACTGAAAACACTACCTCGTCTTCATCTATAACCGACCCAAGCCATATTCGAACCCCCGTTTCACAAAACCATAGTAGCAAGATCCTGAAGCCATCCACGTTTGACGGTCAGACAACATGGGAAACATATCGACTCCAATTTGATGCTGCAGCTAGAGCCAATGGCTGGATCGAGAAAGAGACGGCGGCTTCATTGATAGTGTTGCTGCGCGGACAGGCAGCAACTGTTTTACAGTTACTTACTCAAGGACAACCCACTTATTCATCTCTCATCCAAGCTTTGGAGACAAGATATGGCCAGCAGCATTTGAAACAGGTATTCCAAAGCCAGCTAAAAGTTCGTAGTCAGAAACATAATGAGAGTCTACAGGAATTCGAGGCCGACATAAGAAGATTGATTCATCTAGCCTATCCACAAGCGCCCAAAGATTTCCAAGAACAAATCGGATTACAGGCATTCATTGATGGACTACAAGATGTGGAAATGCAGCAAACCCTTCGTCTACAACATCACAAGACGCTTAGGGAGAAACTGATTGCCGACCAGGAATATTAAGTGGTAAAACTCGTATCCAGATCGTCTCGCGCAAAAGTGAGAGAAAGTAAATCCTAATACTAAGGCTATTCCCCAACCAACCCTCTCGCAAATTTTAAATATCCTGCAAAATATGCAACTAAACAGCCAAAATGGAAGAACCATCCACTTTCAAAGAACCTGTAGAAGCAGGGCTCGTTTTATAAACCGAGAATCAGGGAATGAGGCCGGAAAGTTACATAGATCAATCTTCCGAAGCCCGTCACAAAGTCCAACAAGAAATAGTCACAGCAGTTTTGCATCCCGAAGAAGCTAATCACCCACACCGAGCCGGTTTGCTAGCAATAATCAGGAAGTAAGCATCGTAGAGGCCGTCTCCATAGCAACGCAGACATTCTCTCCAGGCGACCCTGTTTAGAACGAGAATGCCGGTACAGTAAGGAGCTCGGAGAACGGGAGGAACCGGTTGATAAAGTTACTATTCGACAACCACTATCAAACCAGAGGGCGACGATGAAGAAATCACCCTTAAAGGCCTGAGAAAGGGGCAGAAGAAAGACAATGACTTAAAAGTTGTCCAAGAATGGCAAGAGATAGCCAAATACAGTGGAGCTATTAAAGGGTACTGGGCTCAGTGGAATTCCTTGTATATTCACGATGGCCTATTGCACCGGAAGTGGAAGAGACCCGATGGAGTACATGTAGTCAGCCAAGTGGTATCGTCGAAATCACATGTCAGAAGTGTGTTGGAGGAACTCCATAGCAGCCGTTCAGGAGGACATTTTGGTACTAAAAGGACGCTGGCACGAGTTCGGGAAAGATATTATTGGGTCAATTGCCGACGAGATGTAGAAGATTGGTGATGCAATAGCAGAAAAGGGCCTAAAACGAGAAGTCGAGGTAAAATGTCACAGTACCTTTCCGGAGAGCCTTTCGAATCATATATATTTTCGGACCACTTCCCTTGATGGTTGTTATGGACTATTTTTCAAAGTGGCCCGAAATAGCGCCCATTCATAATCAGGAAGCGAAGACAGTAGCAGAAGCGTTTAGGACAAACGTCATTGTGAGACACGGAGACCCCCTGGAATTGCATTCTGACCAAAGACGAAATTTTGAATCCGAATTATGCCAAGAAAAACTGTTAGGCATCAGGAAAACACGCACTACGCCTCTCCACCCACAGTAATCAAGTTATTCGAGGCGAATAACTAGAGAGGAGGGGGCAATGTTACGCAGCACCCTCCAGCGTGCTGCGGTCGTCATAAGTAAAGGTACGAGTAAAAGAAGACGGAGGAATATTCGAGAAATGTCATTCCACGTCAAGAAAAATCTAGCCAATGATCCCGACGCCAATTTTTCAGTTTTTATGATGTACGTTATATGGTAATGTTTCTTTTTAATTTGGTGTCATCGGCATCGACTACTAAGGCCATTAGCCTCGTGTTCTGTGTAGGCTTTGTTACTGTTTCCCAGCGCCACTTTAGGGACAGCACTGTTAATTAGAACCCAACAGTGAATGGTCGAGTGGGGAATCCTACCAAGGCATCAGAATTAATTTTAAATAATTAAATTAAATTAAATTAAAAAAAATCCCGGCCAACGGATATAGTAATGTTATCAGTTGTTGTAAAGTTATTGTAAAAGTTGAATTGAAAAAAATTTAGATACCAAAAACCTGCTTAACAGTATTCTTATTATTACTTGTTTTTAATCCCTTAATAAACGTACTGTTATTTTTGAAGAACATATTATTTTATTTAGCACATTTAAAATTATTATCATAAACTATTTTACGCAGTGTGTTATAGGTAAGTAAATAATAAACTTATCTTTTTCTTTGTGTGCCGCCAAATTTTAAAATAGTTAAAAGTGTGCTGCAACAAAAAAAGGTCGAGAATCATTGGTCTAGCTAGAGGAAAGGACATGTCTAGCAAACATGGATGTTTGGGTTGGATCTCTGGCTTCGATATGGTTTTTTTTTTCAAATCTCCAAGAATGATGAATTATCCATAACTCAAATGTGGTCAGTTTACTCAGTTTTCCCAAAGTATTTGTTTTCACCTTTGGGGTTCGGAAATGGTCTTAATAATTCGTAGTGAGATTTTTGAGATTTGTTACAGAATTTTCAAATTATTCAGCCACTTATTTCAGATATTTCTCTGACTTTTTAGATTTCAATTTGCGATTTCACGATAAATAAATTCACACTTTTCACACAGGATTACATTTATTATCGTACATTAAAAACTTAAACTCACGCAGACGAAGATATGGGCTTAGTATGCATAAGTGCCTTTCTCATATATACCGATGATGTAGAAGTATTTGAAGATTTGAGAAAGACGTTGAACGCCGTCTGGCCAGAACTAGCACATCAAATTTCTGTCTAGGATTCTCGACAGTCAATGTCGTGGATGGTCTTGTGTAAAGGGCACCTGTTTAGCAAACATGGATGCCCGGTTCGATGCCTGGGTTCAATCCCTGGCTGCGATAGACTTTTTTCAAATCTCCAAGTATTTGTTTTCCCCTTTGGGGTTCGGGGATGGTCTTAATAATTCGTAGGGGGATTTTTGAGATTTGTTTCCGAATTTTCAAATTATTATTATTATTTTCTATCTATCTCCTTATATAATTCAATTCAAAGTCCGTCGAGGTATTAGTCAGAGGAGTATTTGTTTTCTGTATAATATATGACATTGACTTTGACAGTTCATTTTCTTTGTTTAATTACTGGTCTGATTATTTGTTATTGCTCTATAAACTGCTATATCAGAGGTTAAATCCACGACAAAAATTCGTCTGAAGATAGAGATGCGTTCTCTCTATAAGCCACGAAAGGTGAAAGTTATGTACGTTATTTAACGAGAATAGCGGAAAATTTAAAGCATATTTGTACAGTGGGATACCACCTATGAAAGAAAATACTGTTTTCGTTATCTTAGAAAATTGTAAAAATGCTCGGATGTCAATTTTAATTTCTGATGAAGCATATTTTTTTATTATAAAAATATTATCCCAGGTTTTAGCCCCCTGTCCATGGGTAGCTACCTCCTTGAATATCTTAAATTGGAACAGGAGCCGATAGCTCATTTGAATAAGTTTTTAATTCATTTTTTCTAGAGGTATATTCGCTCTTTTGGACTATTTAACATTAACTAGTTAAAAATAGCGAATATTTGAAATAATTAAATCATCTTATTATCACCTAGAAAGAATAAAAAAAAATATGAACACAGAATTAAAAAGCCTTTTAAATGATTTATAAATTGGCCCATGTGGCAATTTAAAATATTCAAGGATGTGGTTACCTCGGACAGGTGTTGAATTCTGATACTTTTATAACAAAAATGTGAATCGTCAGAAGTAAAAAGTGACGTGATTCAGCAAATTATATATTTTTAAAAGTGAAAGTGTGTTATGTTATGGGGTGTTAATACACTACCACCTAAAAGATCTATTGTGCGTCCTTCTGTTGCTAATGCAGCAAGGAAATGTCTCAACGCCTATAACGATCCTTCCAATCCTATCTCCTCAAGAAAGTGTAGGATTTGGAGTGGCTTGAAGTTAAGTAAATCTCCCTCTTCTATTGTATATGCTCCTAGGTATAGTTTACTAAGGTGCCCTTTGAGTCGTCAATACCCAATGATACAATACATAGTCTGTTCTTGCCCAGGCAGATACAGGCTTCCGATCTTTTCTGGTTATTATTCACCCAGATGTATCTTAGCCTATCTTAACCCTAAGAGATTGTTCCAATTAACGGTTTTTCTACTAAAGTGAAAATAAAATTTTGATTTTTCATTTCACAAAATGTAAGAAAAATTGCAATAATAAGCAAAATGGTATTCAAAAGATTCTGTCCGATTGTCAAACATTTAACACCATTGATTTTTTTAGATCCTGAATCATATTACAAAAAAAAAATTTCGAAATTTTTTCGTTTTTGGAAGGAATGTACTGTAATTTTGAAAAAAAAAATCTCCAAAACTGATAAATTACATAACTACCAGCAAATATAAAAAAATATCTATAGAGTTTCTGAAATTAATCATTCAAGTAAAATTTTACATGCAAATACTTACTCTTGGGAAATACCTATCAAGATCCTGCATGTAAAACACAAATACATTATAAAAATTTTCTATTACTTTATAAAAGTATTATGGAAAAATAAACGAGGAAATATTGTTCAGAATGGGATTTCTAGATTGTCAAGGGGTCAGGACATTTATTGATTTGTATTCAAACAGGTCAACTGCCCTATTACAGGGATAAAAGTATCCTAATAAACAATAATAATAATAAACATTAGGTAATTACAACTAATATTACAACTTACCCAGTATTAAAATTAATTAAGAGTAATGTAATAATTAATTAAGAGTAAAGTAATAATTAATCAAGAGAAATGTAATAATCAAATACAAGTTTTTGGAACATATTAATCGGTAATTTCCAGTTTTACATCAATACAAGTATTTATATTATTTTCCAAACGGAGCATGGTCACAAAAGGTGACCTGGCGTGTTAAGAACTAAAGGAATATTAAACATACAAGGATGTCTCATTCATCACGGGGGTACATTAAATCGTATTAAGTATAGTATCGCTCAGGTGAGTTAATTTTATAAAAAAAAATAAAAGTCAACATTATCATATTTCTTCTGATGTGAAGGGAAAATATTTTAAATTCCTTTCTTAAGTTTGCAGTTCTAACGAGATTATAGTCTGGGTATATATGGAGTTTTTTAAAATAAAGATATCTAGGAGTTAACTTTGTATTTTTTCAATCTCTTATAGATTAGTTGGATGTCTCCCCCATCCATACCTCAGCTCCAAATTTAAGTTTTTGTCTAATTATGAATCCCATCATTCTATTTGCAGCCTTAACTATATTTAATTTATATGATTAGAAAACGACAGAACAAAATCGTAGGTGACATCTACCTAAGTCTTTTACCTCTTTACATAGTTCTAAGACTTCTCCATCTATAAGACTATAGAAAATAACAGGATTTTTCATTCTACTTATTGTCATACTGCTGACGAGATGTTTTGTCAAGGCATTGGGACATCGAAATATGCTGTTGTCAAGGTGCCAGGAGATCGAAATATGTCTTGTCAAGGTGTCGTGACATCGAGTTATGTCGTTGTCAAGGTGTCATGACATTGAGTTATGTCATTGTCAAGATGCCGGGACTTCAAAATGTATCATTTTCAGTCACATACTTTGATTTTCTTTTACTATACGGAGAATGGTCGCACTGCGCTGCTTTCTGAGTGCCTTTTAAAAGGAGATAGAAAACTCCGCCATTTTGATCCCTTATTACGTGTTGCCTACATCTTGGCGCAATATTTTTAATAGGTGCGTTTTAATCATCCGCTTCTGCTTCGAAATTGTCGGTTTTCTTGTTTTAATCTGACAGGTTAAAACGACTAAACCGACAATTCCGGAAGCAGAAGCGGATGATTAAAACGCATCTGATATTTTGCTTGCAGCTGTCAGTGTCAGTAAATATTATTTTTGGAGTCACAGTTTATTGCTAAAGAATCAGTTAGCTCACTCGGACCAGTTGAAAGTTCCAAAATAACATCCACTCCAGGGATACAAATTCAGGATACGCAGAAGACTGCTATTTTATTATGGGCGGTTGTCATATATTGTATTATCTGAGTTGCGCAGTGTATGAACTGGAACATTGAGATCAAAAGTGCCGACGCAGAGTGAGCGATCTGATTCTTTAGCTATAAACTGTGGCATAGGAATCAAAGTATGTGTTTTCATTAGTCAATAGTAAACCACCATGAAATGAAATATCTCTGAATAACATATTACTAAAGGGAACATAGTCAATAGATTTAAAACCAGTGTAAAGGTGCAAAATATCCCTACATAACCTTAACGAGACTTCAAATGCTAGTTAGTACATCTAGCATTAGTGAAGTATAAATTCAGATTGTTAATTAAAGTATTAAAAAGAAACTTACTCTATTAAAATCTATGTTAGTTTGTAAACTTGCAATTTGTTTTTGAATATTTATGCATGATTCCAAACTGCAATTTCTTAGGAGTTGTAGTAAATCTCGTTTAACTTTTCTCATCGCTACAAAATAAACAATTATAGAATGTAATATACTCGTAAAAGTATAAAAAAATATTATTAAAATGGTTTCTATTTACCATCATTTAGTTGAGAAGCCATTGCTCTTAAACTATTGGTATAATCTTTTAATTTCCCTAATTGTTCTGTGATATTTGGTATTGCTTCTACGAAATTATACAAATCCATCATTGCTGTTGCATTGCTCCAAATATTCAGTTGCTGCATCACATGTACTCCAGATTCTGAAGGAAGGAAAAATCAAAACGTAATTTAAGGATCATCAGAGGAATGTAATTAGCAAATTAAGTTCAATTAGAAAAAATTACATTCACAATTTGATGAGACATAATTGTTGTTAAAAATATAAAATTCATTTCTGTGTTGGTAATTCTTTTATGTAATTGGTCATAGATAAATAAAAGGAGATGATTTGAATTATAGGCAGGAAATGTTTCCTTGTTTGTAATTTAACATAATACGCTTCGCGTCGCTGCGAACAATAAATATAAAGCCATTTTACAACCACATATTTTAAAAATAAAAAAATGGTAAAGAAAAACAATTCTACTAATGCGATCAATTAAATAACGTTAAGTTAAGACTTTAGTACAATATATGATCAAATACAGGGATAAATAAGTTAGAGCAAAATTTCAATATTATGAGTTGGTGTAAATTTGGTTTTGATAATAAGCTTATGTTGCCCTAAAACATGACAGTCCGATATTTTCGAGGAAAATGTAATTGAGTGAAATTTAATTACTGTAAGATAGATTTAAGTAATTTATCTCTATTCGCTCCGTGCGAAGTCATGGAAAGGGAAGCAAAAGCGATACTAGCGCTAGCTGCGGATAATTCGTGCATTTTAGGGCGATATTTTGTAATTTTGGCATATCAAATACACGTATACATTTTACTTTTTTTAAAAAAAAAGTAAGTAAAAACAATACAATAAGCAACCGGAGTTGCTGTGTTGAAAATTGTACAAATACTAGCAAAAAAAAAACAGTGAAACTTATATAAAAAATTTCAGTAGCAAAGTGGAAATTAAATCAAAGAAATAAATGGATAGTTGTACAATAAGAAGAAAAAATACCTTTATTTTTGTAATAATAACAGAAATGCTGGAAATAGTAGACAACAGAAACTTGAAAGGTTTTAAATAAACAATAAATTATCATTTTACGATGTTCTTTAATATCCCTTTATTCTTAAATGTTCATTCAGCAAGGACTAGATTCAAGATTTCTGCCATTGATTATTATATGTGTTTGGAATGCAATTTTGTGACTTACTGATGGCAAACCAGTTTTAATCATTCATTCTGTTTTCTTTCGAACAAAAATGAAAATATAAATAACGATTCTTTTTTATACATTTTAACTTCACGCTATTATTAAATGGTATTTTTTTATTTTGACAGAATAGACTAATTTTTCAATGACAACTTATTAGACTTAGGCAACTTCTCATACATTTTCCAGTAAATACTGTTGCCTGTCTACATTTTATTATTGATTTTTAGTGATTATACATAATTTTCTTTAATTTAAGCGATAAAAATATATAATAATAATAAAAAATTAACGTTTTACTTGTTTTACAAATCTATATACTTTTATTAAAACTAACATATATACTTTTTAATTACGAATTCTATTAAAAATTTATTTGTCAGTATACGCAGAAATAGTCCATTAGTACCAAAACGAATTGGCGCTGCTGTCGCGCACAGAGCGAATAAAGAAAATATTGATGTTCTTAATACGTTGAAGGACACATGTTTTTCCCTTAAGTTAATATATGGACACTAGCTGCATTTGCCCCAAATAGTATGTTTCGGTAGACACTGACGTGATATGACGCATTTGCTTTGTGATGCTTTTATTCGCGCTAGCGTTAAATGTCGTTGATTTTACATGTATTAAGTATAGAATGTCATTCTTAAAACCCGCTACCATAAACTTAGGATGAAGAGTACAGAAAGTTTATTGGTATATGAGCAACAACAGTTTGAAGCCTACCGCGATCAAATCAGCCCATATTTATATCCATTGTTTTAAATTTAGTTAAAAATGGATAAAAAAAAAACTAAAAGAATCACATTGGCAGTGTAATAGCAGTGTTGGAAATTCTCCACTTCGATAGGTATTTATTTTCAAAATTTGTCAATATTAGAGTAGATTATGGAAACGATTATGAATTTCTATGAATTTCTATGAATTTCTATGAATTTCTATGAATTTCTATGAATTTCTATGAATTTCTATGAATTTCTATGAATTTCTATGAATTTCTATGAATTTCTATGAATTTCTATGAATTTCTATGAATTTCTATGAATTTCTATGAATTTCTATGAATTTCTATGAATTTCTATGAATTTCTATGAATTTCTATGAATTTCTATGAATTTCTATGAATTTCTATGAATTTCTATGAATTTCTATGAATTTCTATGAATTTCTATGAATTTCTATGAATTTCTATGAATTTCTATGAATTTCTATGAATTTCTATGAATTTCTATGAATTTCTATAAATTTCTATGAATTTCTATGTGTGCTAAACGGTCCCATGATCTACTTACTAGATTATTTTTTTTGATAGATCTTTAGTTTTATTTTCTAATAAAAGTTATCTGCAAAATTGGAATTTTATTTAAATAAAAAAAGGCGGGAGCCATTTGCATTTTCATAAATTTTGAAGCCCGCCATTTTTTAAACTGCTTTACTTAGTAGTGTCCTACTTTACCGACTATAACAAATTTTTATCATAAGGCGCCTGCCTAGCACGCCTGTCGAGTTCAAGCAAATTTGTTACCAACTATTTACAGGAAAAATGGGTACCTACCCTGTAAATGGTCGTTAAAGGTGATGAGCGTAAAGAAAGTAAAGTGATACTTCAAAATAAGAAAAAAATATGTAATGCTTACTTTGCACAGTATCCTTAAAAACAACTGCGAATTGTTTATAATTGTTTGTAAGAAGATTTGTGACTTGATCTCTCGTACTGTCCAAATAGTGAATAGAGTCTTTGTAGCTATTTCTAACGTTAGTAGGTAATTCATCTGTTCCTTCTTGGATTTGTTGATTGCTTGCAAAAGCACATACCACACAAAACCTGAAATGGAAAATAGATGATAAATCTTATAATTCATAAAAAAAGAAAATATTTCCAAACACTATCACTGAATGTGTACAATAATTATTCATTTCAACAGTTATTGGTTCTAAAAGTCCATGTGAGAATTAGGGAAAAATTAAATAGGTAGCTGTGACTTTACATTTGAGAGCAAATTGTAGATATTATTTTCTTCCTATCCTTGTATACTGTAAGGAATGTTTGAAATCTAGTGATCAATTAATTGTATTGTAAATATTGTTGTTTTCGATTGTTTTTCATAATAAGACATTCCAACGCCTGTCAAACAATAGCTTTTATATTTTATGGAATATATCTGTTATTTACGTTTGGAAAAGAAAATTCTTCAAATAAAAGTTACTTCTAATATTATTCTCCATAATTTTTGCTCCATACAAAATTTTCCTAAAATGGTCCGTAATTGTGAAATTTGGCAAAATGTACTTGTACTTCAAAAATCTATATTATTGCATTGTAGGTACAATCGAGGGTACAATGAAATTGACGTCATTATTATCAAAAAATCCTATTAATAATGTTCTAGAAGTATTCCGTATGCCTTAATAATTATAGGTATATTTTTATATTTTATAACTTTGTTCTAAATAGTTTCGCAAATTACAAGAATATAATTCAAAATGTTTATTGGTAAAAACACACTTCACCTTGAGTTTGTTGTTTGCTCTTTAAACTTCACTTTAGAACAGTCACATTTCATGTGAAAACAATAACATTTTAAACAATTACTATATTGCAAATATACTTACAGAAGAGCAGTTCCCAGTATAATTAAGAGAGCACCTTCAAACACTTTCTTGCACAAATCTCTTCTTTTATCACACGGTTTCGTCCTAGCACCACAATTGCCGCAACATCTACAGCAACAGAAGAACAACCCTACAATTGGTACCAATACGGTTATCAGTACCAAAATCACCAAAACCAAAATCAATGGCCAGTAGTATTTGAGTACTTCGGTAATGGAAACGTTCTCGTTTAGCTCGACATAGTAGTAATTTTCGCCTTGATGCCATGTTATTAAATCTGAAACAAACATTTCGTTGCATAAAGTCAGGGTAGTAGTAATAATATAAATGTTATGAATAGTTTGCGTAACAAAAGTTGATATAATGCCATATTGCCCAAAAACGAAGTTTATGCTGTAGACGAAGTGTTCAATCGCCTTAATGCGATACGGACAATCCACTCAAGTATTTATTTCTACAACACAATAAATATAATTACAAAATTTTCTGTCAAACCAAATTTACTCAATTTTAGAAGCAGAACATTATAATTTACCCTGTTAAATGCTTTTTTTAAAGTCTGTGAATATTATATCAAATTTTACTTTGTTTTCAAGCCGTGGTTACAAAACTAAATAGATTTGTACTGATACATTTTTTGAGACGAAATTTTCAGTTGAGATACTAGTCCGCTCTCAACTTGCCGATACAATCTTAAATACAGTATATTTATGCTCATATAATTTAGCAGGTGTTGATGTAAGTTTTCGATCATCACTTTATTTCCAGATTTAAACATAGGAGAACCTACTGCAATGTTCGATAAGTGTGAAAATTCATTTGTTGAGATAGTTAAATTGAAAAGATGAAGTATTTGACAAATCTAGTCCATTCGGACATTCTAGTCCATTCTAACAGTTGAAGAAACACCTGAATGGTTCCAAGTTTGGATCCAATGAGGTAATCATTCCAGCTACCAAGGCGTTTTTGGAAGGACAACCGGCCCCCTTTCTATTTGAAGGGGTTAATAGAACTGAAAAAGCGTTGTGCTAAATATGTTAGCTTGAGGAGGGGGGGGGGGGTAAGTTAATAAAAGTGTTTCAGATTTCGAGATACAATACAGAAGAGACCAGTTAAGCAAAACTAACCACAACAGAAATAATACCCAAACCAGATGTCCTATCATTAATAATGTACAAAGAATGGAAAATTTGACATACTCAAATGTGGCTAGTAATAACAGACCTAATCAAACTGAAAACGAATCTTCAACGAATCAAATCACGACTATATTTAATATAATTCTTGATAGAATTACCAGATTAGACATCCTTAATGGAGCATAACGACTTAATCATTGTAACGTGGAATGCCAATGAACCCCTTGGCCATCGAGAAGAGCTACTGGTGTTCCTAATAGAACAAAATATAGATATCTGTCTAATATCAGAAACACGTTTAACAAAACAAAACTATATACAATTTAAAGGATATAAAGTATTTAGTACTATACATCCGTCGGATAACGCTATAAAAGAAAATGTTAACCATTATGACAAGAACAAAATAGGAATAGAAGAAATACAGGCAACACCGGTTAACATAAAAATTAATTAATACAGTTTCTAGGTCGGAGCAGTATATATTCCACCACGCCATAATTTGAAAAAATAAAATTCCAAAAAACTCTTATGACAAATGGGAGAAAATTTTATCTTAAGAGGTGATTTTAATGTAAAAATATCACCAGAGGTAGGGAATTGCATGCAGCTGCAAGTGAAATTGAGTTTGACTAGCGCAGTCAACAGGAAAACCAACTTATTGGCCAACCGACAGAAAAAAAATACCATAAACTTAGTATGAAGAGTACAGAAAGTTTATTGGTATATGAGCAACAACAGTTTGAAGCCTACCGCGATCAAATCAGCCCATATTTATATCCATTGTTTTAAATTTAGTTAAAAATGGATAAAAAAAACTAAAAGAAACACATTGGCAGTGTAATAGCTTCGGGCTCTGCTGTAATTCATACATTGAGAATCGAAGTCGGGCTTATCAGTAAACATGTAACGTAGGCTTGCGTCTATAAATTTCTATGAATTTCTATGAATTTCTATGAATTTCTATGAATTTCTATGAATTTCTATGAATTTCTATGAATTTCTATGAATTTCTATGAATTTCTATGAATTTCTATGAATTTCTATGAATTTCTATGAATTTCTATGAATTTCTATGAATTTCTATGAATTTCTATGAATTTCTATGAATTTCTATGAATTTCTATGAATTTCTATGAATTTCTATGAATTTCTATGAATTTCTATGAATTTCTATGAATTTCTATGAATTTCTATGAATTTCTATGAATTTCTATGAATTTCTATGAATTTCTATGAATTACTATGAATTTCTATTAATGTCTATTAATGTCTATGAATTTCTATGAATTTCTATGAATTTCTATGAATTTCTATGAATTTCTATGAATTTCTATGAATTTCTATGAATTTCTATGAATTTCTATGAATTTCTATGAATTTCTATGAATTTCTATGAATTTCTATGAATTTCTATGAATTTCTATGAATTTCTATGAATTTCTATGAATTTCTATGAATTTCTATGAATTTCTATGAATTTCTATGAATTTCTATGAATTTCTATGAATTTCTATGAATTTCTATGAATTTCTATGAATTTCTATGAATTTCTATGAATTTCTATGAATTTCTATGAATTTCTATGAATTTCTATGAATTTCTATGAATTTCTATGAATTTCTATGAATTTCTATGAATTTCTATGAATTTCTATGAATTTCTATGAATTTCTATGAATTTCTATGAATTTCTATGAATTTCTATGAATTTCTATGAATTTCTATGAATTTCTATGAATTTCTATGAATTTCTATGAATTTCTATGAATTTCTATGAATTTCTATGAATTTCTATAAATTTCTATGAATTTCTATGAATTTCTATGAATTTCTATGAATTTCTATGAATTTCTATGAATTTCTATGAATTTCTATGAATTTCTATGAATTTCTATGAATTTCTATGAATTTCTATGAATTTCTATGAATTTCTATGAATTTCTATGAATTTCTATGAATTTCTATGAATTTCTATGAATTTCTATGAATTTCTATGAATTTCTATGAATTTCTATGAAATACAGGCAACACCGGTTAACATAAAAATTAATTAATACAGTTTCTAGGTCGGAGCAGTATATATTCCACCACGCCATAATTTGAAAAAATTAAATTCCAAAAAACTCTTATGACAAATGGGAGAAAATTTTATCTTAAGAGGTGATTTTAATGCAAAAATATCACCAGAGGTAGGGAATTGCATGCAGCTGCAAGTGAAATTGGGTTTGACTAGCGCAGTCAACAGGAAAACCAAATTATTGGCCAACCGACAGAAAAAAAATATCTTACTGGACTTCTACATCACTAGATAAATACCCGGAAACTTTATTAAAATAGAAGAAACCTTTTTCCCCGGTGATACTAAGCGAAAATGTAATCGAAAAAGAAATTAGACTACATTATATAATAAAAAGACAGATTGGTTAAGTTTTAAAGCTGAATTAAGTAATATAATTCAAGTGCACTACTAAGAACAAAAGAACAACTAGAGTTCGAGCTGAAAAAATTTGTCATTGACATACAACAAGCGTCATGGAACAATACACTATAAATTACAAGAAAAAACGTATTTACCGTAGAAATAAAAGAACTAATAAATTCCCCGAAGATAAAGTAGTTTTCAACATACTAACACAACAACTCAAAAGAGAAATAATCACTATTAAAAATAAATCAATAGAGACATATCTCAGAAAATTGACGAACGACAAAAATACTGATTACTTTCTGTGGACAGACTAGGAAACTTAAACGTCCAGTAGTCCAAATGCCACCAACAATAGAGAAAATACTGGAAAAAAGAATATCTGCACTACAATTCTTTTTAGATGTAGCTCAGGCTTTCGATAAAATATGGTTAGAGGGAATATAAAATAAAGTTTTATCTACAACCACCACGGCAAATCTTCTATTATGTATCGTTTTGTTTATAAGTAAATACATCATTACAGATACTGTTACGTAATGAAATCCCAAAACTGATACGTAATTATATGTATAACATAACAGTTTTATTTATCAAACTAGCCATATTACTTCGTTGTTAGGTGATTGCTATGGTTACAATAAATTGTTTTAATATTTCAGAAATAGAAAAATCGTCATTTTTGTAGTTACAAGATTATTTTTTTGAAGAATAAAATGATTTCGTCAGATAGTGAAAATGAATTTCAAGGAACTCCTCCTGATATTCTTGAAAAAGCTACTAATACTATCAACAAGTTACTGCCCTCAAAATCGTCAAGGGCAAGGTATTAAATAGTATACCAAAAGTTTTTGGACTGACGTATAAAAACAATATAAACTCATCTGAGAATGTGCTTTTGGCATATTGACAATGTATTCTATGTTAGGAATCGTCATTCCCATGAAAAATAAAGTGAATATTAAAACATACGCAAAATTAAAAGCATTCCTTAAAAAGCAAGTTTTTAAATGAAGCTATTGATTCACAATACTTATTAACAAAGGTTTGTTAATTTATTATTTGCATTTGTTATTGACAATATTTTTAATTAAATGTATTTAATGTACCTATGGTATATATTATGAAAGCCTTCTCGTTATTATAAATGTATGGTTGTAGTTGTAGATAAAGTATTGTATATTACTCGAGTTGTAATTGCAATTACATGCTCGTAGAATAACTGCATACGCCGATAACGCGGCTCGTGCGCTATTTTTCAACTCGCATGTAATTAGCTTCTTACTACTCTTATTATGTAATATACATACTATTACCTAAGCAATATTGTGACATCTTAAAATCCTAACTGACTGATAAAATCTTCTGAGTAAAACAAGTAGAATATTCCACGCTTAAAGAAACTAAAGCAGGGGTACTTCAAGGAAGTGTTCTGTGGCCAGTTCTTTACCTGTTGTTTACCCGACACACCGCAAAAGCAAAATGCGATAGTAGCTACATTTGCCGACGACATAGCCATACTTACCATCGGTAAAACCTAGAAGAATCGACCAGAAAACTTCAACAAGCAACTAATAAAATCTACGAGTGGATAAAAAGATGGCACATTAAGCTCAACGAAACTAAAACAATTCAGGTTAACTTCACTAATAAAAGATAGTAGAATACCTACTTGTGATATTAAATAATGCTAGAATACCATATTCTAATT